ATGTGTTTCACAGATAGGACCCAATAAACTTTAAGAGAATAAAAATACATTACCTGTATTTATTATTTTTAAATAAGCAGGATGAATGTAAACTAACTCATACACGTCCAGACCTTCTGCATCGGGTGTCAGGCTGCAGCTGCCTGCTGGTAGAAGAACGAATTGACACACGCGTCCCGACTTTCCGTATTTAAAAAGAAGAAAACACTTAAAATCTTTATATTTAATCAACATGTTTAAAGAAAAAGAAAAACTTTAGCAGTATTTGCCAAATGTTTCATGTCGGTGTTATGTACAGTATAAGGTGGAAGAAAACATTTAACCAACAAACTTTAAGGAAGAATTACCTTTGGTCCATGGCTCAGGCTGAAATTAGCAGAATACCCAGCATGCTCTCTCTCCCTGTAGCGCATGGGCATAGACACACGACCCCCACGCAACAACAATCCTTTATTGAAGGCAACTAGGTGCAACTAGTTTTCTGAATTTTAAAGAGTGTATAAAAAGTTTTATTAAAGTGTCATTTTAAAATAAGTATAAAATGTGCTATAAAGCATTTAGCCAATGAGAATTAATAAAGAATTTAAGCATATTATCCCACACGTGCCCAGACTATAGTGGCTAGAAATGTCCGACCAGGCAGTCAGAAGTGGGTTTTCTTATCGCTCAGGTGGTCACCAACGGGCAGGAATTTAGGATATATTTTCGATATATTAAAGAAGGTGGACATAATTATTTCATTACATTTAATAGGAACTAGTAAGCGGCATTTAGCATCATGCATCAAATACACATTAAAAACTTCGAAGAATCATGCCTTCGTTCTTTTAATAAATTTAAGGGATAAAAACATTACTGCAAATTTTTGCAGACTTCACACAACCAGAACCCGCAAGGAGTTTGTCCGGCCCATCGGCACCTCCACCGATCAACTTAACACAGCTAAACCCCACATGGTCAAGCGCAAGCCAGCGAGACAGTGCAAGCATAGGGCTCTGGGTAGTATATTCTCACAACATGATTATGTCAGGAGATTGTTCCTGGTCTAGCCTGCAGTCTCTGGGGAATAGGCCCGGACAACCGCTGCGGCCCTGAACAGAACATAAGATTGCAGAAATCCCAGGGATGGATAAAATATTTAACTACATTTGGTTAATCAAATGGAATAAAGCACTATAACTTAAATGGTGTATGACAAATTAGCATAGCATTTTTAAACCAATAAGATTTAAGGAATAAAACAATTTAGTTACATTTTGTTAGTTTATTTTAAATAAGATGGACCGGTTTATTTAATTACATTTAATAACTGTAGGAACTAGTGAGTAGTATTTAGCAACAAGCATCAAACACATATTTTTAAAAACTTTAACAGAATAAAACCTTAGTTATTTTAATAAACACACTTTTTTCAGTAAATGTTTGTTCACGCTCATGCGCACACACACACACACACACCCTGGAGGTTGGGGCTTTAGAGTTTAACTAGGTCTGTAAAAGTAGGATCGTGATGTGTATTCAAACCCAAAGCACACTAACTATGGCGTTCACAAACCGATTCCTGACTGATTTTTTACGATGAATGTCCTAAGTTAGTGTGCTTTGGGTTTGAGTACACGTCACAATCCTAATGTCACAAACCTAAAGTTAAACTCTAAAGCCCAACCTCCGGGGTGCGTGTGTGTGTGTGTGCGTGCATGAGCGTGAACAAACATTTACTGAAAAAAGTGTGTTTATTAAAATAACTAAGGCTTTATTCTGTTAAAGTTTTTTTAAATATGTGTTTGATGCTTGTTACTAAATGCTACTTAAAGTTCCTTAAAGTTTGTTGGTTAAATGCTTTCTTCCACCTTATACCTAACACTGAAATAAAACAATGACAAATACTGCTAGTTTTTGTTCTTCTTTAAACATGTTGATTAAATATAAAGATTTTAAGTGTTTTCTTCTTTTTAAATACGGAAAGTCGGGACTCGTGTGTCAATTCGTTCTTCTACCAGCAGGCAGCTGCAGCCTGACACCCGATGCAGAAGGTCTGGACGTGTATGAGTTAGTTTACATTCATCCTGCTTATTTAAAAATAATAAATACAGGTAATGTATTTTTATTCTCTTAAAGTTTATTGGGTCCTATCTGTGAAACACATCTGACAGCATAAAGGAACACGCCCACCTGGACCTATCAATCAAAATACAACAGACCAATCAGAATAAACGTACACACCCCTCCTGCCTATGACATCATCAGTCCTCCTGCTAAGCTACGCCCAAAGTGACTATTATTCTTTCTCTCAGATATGCTCACAGATATGTAGTCCTCTTTCTGGAATATAGTTACAAAAAATTGCAGATTTTATGGACGTAATCTATCTCAGACTTTATAAACCATATCAGCATAGCTAAATTAATGTAAGATATGTATTAGTACTTTTATTTATCATAGAATACTGTGTAGATACTGTATAGAAATAAAGACATACATATTTAAAATTTTGCTTCCAAAAATTTGTATTAGCTATAAGAACTACATCTGTATTCTACTTTTAATATTTGTTGGTTGCATGCAGATTGTATTTCCTGTTGTTCTACAAAATAGGACACATGTAAATTCAATTTCGTTACATTTCTGAAGCCTGTGAAATCAGATTTAAACAGTAAGTTGTTGTTCATAAACATTTGGTTCCTTAAATTAATGAATAAATATAATACCTTATTCTGTGTTTTTTGTATACATATATGGACGATTTCATATTACATGTAGAACACATGAAATGATTGGTTTAGAATAACTATGTTTGTTTTTAAACAGAATAGGTATTATTAAATTATTAACAATTGCAACAATAGACAGCATGTTCTATGAGCCATTGAACAAACTTGTTTATGTTTATTATGGCCAGATACTTTCAAATAGCAAAATGGACATAAAAGATTTAAATTGATTCATTGTTCACTAAATACAGGCTTATCTTGATTTTTTTATTAGAGGGCCTAATAATTCAAGAACATATAATTAATGCTTATTTCACTGACTACAGGCAACTACAAAAGGAAAAGGGTTTGTCAAACAGTTCCCAAGTGAGCATGTTGACAATTACCAAAGATATCGTATAATTTCATTTTGATCTTGAGTTTAGGCATCTTGATATTTTCATGATATAAAATATCACATACTTATTATTTAAATTATGTTGTGACATTCTAAGTCAGGAATGGGTAACCTTATCCAGAAAAGGTCGGTGTATATGATAGGGAGTCCCGTTTTTCACTGTGACTCCCTAATCACTAATCCGAGGACTGATTGGCTGAAGAGTTCTCAAACCTGGGTTTTAGCCGCTGACCTAAAGGTTATCCCAGAAACCCGTGTACACACCAGCCCTTTGTGGATAAGATCAGCCACCCCTGTTGCAAGTGAATGGTAGCATGTAGCAAATGTACCTCCGTGTCCACATGGTAGTACTGATTCACCCTTTTCTCTGCTGTCTGCTGAAAACAATACGAGCCACTAAAATCTAGATGTGTCATCGACCTACAGGTATTTAACAACAGCTCCAAAAAAAAATCAATTCTCGTTCCATCATTAGGCACAAAAATCTCTCCAGCCATAAATGTGACTTGGATAGTGGAAATATGTTAAGAACTTATTTATGTGAACATATTTATATAACCATTTATATTAAATATTTCCGTTTCATTTAATTTTAATGCATTAAGGGAATGGTACACAGACAGGTGACCATGCATGAAGGGAAAGCAATGGGGACTGTCAACTGTGCTTTAAGTTATTTCACATCCTTTGTGTTATCAGCATCATCACTTACGTAATGAATATTTGAGAATTGTTAATAATTATTCAGAGAGAAGTCATTCCACCACACCTTGCCAAATGGTCTGAATGTAATGAGCATGCTGAAAGTTCCTCTTTTCAAGTGCTAACTAAGGAGCTTGTAAAATGAGGCATATGAGAATGATTACAGACTTTTAAACCTTAGATCTACTAAGCTCAAAGGTCAGGTATCCCTTACCTATCAATCTTCCATATGACTTCAGTCCATTTCTTTACACTGTAGAAAGAAGTACTTATTATGGATCTTTGTGGGTTCCAAAATGACAATCATGAGTACCACAGCTGACCGGCTGGATCTCTCTCTGCAGCTGCCAGAATTGTATGAGTTATTCCCTGCCTTGTGCCTGTAGCATCGGGGATAGGCTCTGTACTCCTGCAATCCTGAATAATACAAGTCTGTATAGAAAATGAATAGATGGGTAAAGTTATGTACTTAAATAGTTAACCAAATGTAACCTAATATGGTTTAGGTTAAGAACCAAATGATGTTGTTGGAAATTGCATATATAGGTTTGGAAAATTCATATATGTCTTTAGACATATAAGCTAACTAATTTCGACAAAAGTTTCCATAACAAGTACAATTTAACTGTAGTATGACGTCCTGTCTGGTTTTCTTCTCTTTTTTCATGTATGACTTTGGAAAGGATTAGACGACATCTTGTCTGTGCCTGTAGACCTTAATTTCCCACCCTCCTCTCAAAGTAGCCTTTTGTAGGTAGGTGGCCCTTCCATTGGACACAGCTGTCCCAGACACTATACTGTTTGTCTGTTGTACGTTTTAATAAAAAGAGGATCAACATACACATGCTAGGCCACAAATCACAAATCAGTTTGAGAAAAGGGCAACTTACAGCTTAACATTCCACCTTTAACATAATGGCAAAAGATTCAACGGACAAGAAAAGGGGGGGGGGGGGGGAACCTGATTTGTTATCAATAGCTGGTTCAATTCTAACTTAAGCTTAAATTCAACCAGATAAAGGCTCTAATATTATTATTATATTTTAAAATTAGATATTATATTTATTTGAGGTTCCCGTGTCAGGAGGTCAAGTGCTTCACAATTTTCAATCTCAGTTTTGTAAGGAGTGTAATGTTGTTCGAAATAGTTTGTTACGAGTACTTTTGCGTTATTGAGAGCTATGCCTGAGAGCATAGACATTAATAAACTCTACAGAATAAGGAATCCCACAAAAGGGAAAGAGAGCCCTCTGCTGTCTTTTAGAGTCTACATTAAAATTCTGGCAGCATATCACGCGCGCAGACACGTGATAATTATCAATGGCCCTGAAGGGGTTATTATAGCACCTGTTACCACCACGCGGCACCGCCCCTCTTATCGCGTGCATTGTCAGTCTTTTAAGGGAGGTGTTCTTCATTATTCGCTAAAGTGTTTATCTTTATCATTCTCTGGAGGCACTACTAAAGTTGTTTTTCGACACCAAAACGGGTTTCACGGCAATATATGACCTTTTTAAGATGGACTAAATGATCTTCCAGTACACTACTGGGTAGCAATGATCCACATATAAAATTGCATATACTGTAAATATAATTTTGTGTATTTGAAATGATTCAAATTATTTCTTACAGGTGCACCTTCATAATATGTATAGCCTACGACTACTACTGTTAATAATAATAATAATAATAATAATAATAATAATAATAATAATAATAATAATAATAATAGTAGTAGTAGTAGGCTAGTAGTAATAATAATGCTATTGAAGTACATTTCAGGACCAAAAACACGGCAATTGTTTTCAAATTATCGGGTAGGGATCAGCTTTTACTGTCTACTTTATCAAAGGTTACACATATGGAAACATATCTACCGCCGACACACGATTTATCGTTGTTCCTCCTCAGTTTACAAAACACTCAGATAACATCTCCACAACCGCTTCATCTTACGCAATGCAAACTAGAACGAGGCTGATTAAACATAATTCATGCCTGATTCATGGGAATACATCAATGACTTCATTATTGCCGCAATTATTTGGTTAGGTGGGTAGCTATTTTTTCTTTTTAAATTTTAGCTGCCCTTTAACAGATTTCCAAATTGTACATGGATTGATTTGTAGTTTAAGCACCGATTTCACGTTAAAACTGTTAATGTAAGAATTAAAATATTAAAGAATGATTCTTTGTTCGACAACAACGTGTACATGTAGCCTAAGGACACGGAAACAGACGAGGCGTAAATACATGACGCATAGGGTTGGGTGTTTTACCACCCTTCAAATATAACTCTGCTTGGGGGCCAACATTTTCTAAGTTCATCATGGATAAGGAGACAGACAGCTCCGTCTTAAAAGAAGGGTTCCTTGTGAAGCGGGTAAGCAAAACAAGGTTAAACTTTCATTGATATCGGCACGTAAATCTAATCTTCTTGTTTTATCATTATTATTATTATTATTATTATTATTATTATTATTATTATTATTATTATACTAATTGAGCTCTCTCCGCAAAGGGACACGTCGTTCACAACTGGAAAGCCCGCTGGTTTGTGCTGCACCGAGACAGTCTCATTTACTACAAGTACGATGGAACTAAGAAAGACTCCTCTCAGCGCGGAAAGATCACTTTGTGTACCTGCGTTGTCACCTGCCCATACCTGGAATACGAGAACAGACCTGTGAGTTCACACTGTAACACAACCAAATTCTACCATTAATAGCAGTCTTACGCTGGTATATCGTTAGACGTTGATAACACACTGTACTGTTCTGGGATAGGAATGTTTCCAGTGTATTGGGTGTGCCACTTTTGCTCATGTTCAGACAAGTCACGGATCGGTTGTTTCCATACATACGTGTCGATGTACAGTTAATGTGCAGTTTGGTGCCCTATTTAGAGACCTTTTCACAAACATACAGCGTTTGTGTTCTAAACTGATTATTGATTGATTATGTTATTTTGCTGTTTTAGGTTTATTTTTAAAATAAGACGTTTAAAATCTGTTGGTGAAATGCATTCTGGTATGTTGCATGGCATGTCCCAGCTGGTCATAAGGCTGCAGACTCAGAACTCCGCGGAGTATTTCCTCGAGGCCTGTTCGCGGGAGGATCGGGATGAGTGGGCAGCAAGCATTATTTCAGCAGTACAGAAGCTACTCCCCCGGGATGGTCAGAGTCAATCTGCCGTATCTAAAGGACCCAAGACACTGCAACTCCACAATATCAGCTTGAAGTGAGTATTACTTTCATGACTTACGCAAACGTTTAGACACGCTGCGGATCAACTTAAGGAGCAGTATGAGGAGAAAGAACTCAGGTCCATATTATAAAATCATGATTCCCGGTTTATTTAAAGTACTCCCTCTAGCTGTACCTCCTGATTTCTGAATGTAGATGGTTCGATTTCTTAATTTGGTCACATTTTTTCACACAGTCAGGTGGTAGACTCCATGTATGATGTTCACAACGGCATCAAGCTCACCAGCCACATAGAGCAGGGCAGCTCCTACAGCAACTGCTTTTCAGGTAACGCTCTTTAAGTTTACAAAACAACTTCAGGTTGTCCTCTTAGATGCCATTTTCATTTTCAATATTGTGCACTCTATGGTTTTGGATGGAGATCAGTGTTATGTGTCTACTGTGCATATTCCGTTTACCCAATTATATAGTATATAGTAGATTATGTAGTAGAGTGGAACTGGAGAAGAAAACCAATCTGTAAAGAATGAGTCATCAGAGACACTGCTGATTGGCTTCACAGGCTCAGCTGTAGTAGACTGGTTGCTGTCTATGCAGCTGGTTCTTACACGGGTGGAGGCAGTGACTCTAGCTTCGGCACTGTTGGAAGAGGGCTTTGTGCGTCCAGTGGGTTTGAAGAGCGTGGAAGCTGTTCATAGCATCGGGCTCAACGAGCAGTTCTTGGATGACTCCACTGCCCTCTACAGTTTTGTGAGTCTGCACACTTCTCAGCTAAAATACGGGCATTGGCTGGAAGCTCAGCTCAGCCCAGCTACGCTTATGCTTACCTATCAATCTTCGGGCATGTTTGCAATGTGCTATTTGCCTTACTCGTACGCTGCTTCGGACAAAAGCGCCTGCCAAATATGAATGTAAGTGTATGTGACTGAACGGCACATGATTTTCTCACCATCCATGTATTTGATTCTCCAAAGGCTGAAACGTTTAAGAAGAGAGGCAGTGTGAAAGCAGATACTTCCTTAACTGCCGTGGAAATGAGTGGTAAAGTGCTGAAAAGAGGCTTCTTGCTTAAACAGGTCAGTCTGGGACTCAGTGACAGCTGAAATGGGGATTGGTTTTCTCATTTCCATTTCTGCTGCTACAGTAGGCCCCCTGGATCTGTGGATAACTGAAACCAGGGGCATCACTAGGCCTATTTTAGGGGGCTTTTTTTTGTTACCTCCTCTGCCCCAAATAAACATGTATTTATTGACTTACATCATGAATAATTTGCCATCAGCCCCCCCCCCCCCCCAATAAAAACTCAGCCCCCCTATCCATTCATCTTTAACTACTCCCCTGATTGCAACCGGAGTTACGGAAACAACAGATACGGGGGTCTCACAGTATTTATGCGACTGTCGTCGTTTTCTATTTGTAGGGCCATAAGAGAAAGAACTGGAAGGTGCGTCTCTTCGTTCTTCGTGCAGAACCAGGGTACCTGCACTACTACGACCCTAGTAAAGTAAGGGAGTTTCATTGAGTTATCCATCATTCCCCCAACTGAAGTATCTACTCCTCATGTTTAGACTGACTCCTTGACTTCCTGTCTGACCTCATCAATGCCTTACAGGATGACATCAATCCCGTAGGCGGCTTTTCCCTAAGAGGCTGTCTTGTGTCTGCTCTGGATGATAATGGCATTCCCTCAGGTGAGTCACGTCTGAGGTTGGAAGTTCCTGGCCCGGTCATAATCATAGGCTTAACTATGCCTGTTCTGAAGACCAAAGTCAATTATATTTATCTATGTTTACTTATTGCCGTAGGTGTAAAAGGTAAGGTGCAAGGAAATCTGTTCAAAATCATCACTCAATCAGACACACGCTACTTCATCCAGGCCCCAACCAGACAGGAGAAGACGGAATGGATAGAAGCCATTAAGCAACAAACTTAAAAGAAAGCTAAGGGAAACGAGTGATATTTAAGGTCAAAGGATACGAAAAGAGTAAATAAAGTCCGCAGAGTTTCTATGTAACATAAAACAGGCATCTCACTGAACATCTTAAACCATCCTCGTTTAGTCTGATGGACCCACCTTTCTTTGTTATGCAAAACCGATAAGCTTGTACTTCTTGTTCAGAAAAACACCACACTGATAAGTTAGAGGTTGAATGAGCAGTGCTATCATTATACATTCTATGAATGTACCAGAACCAAATTGCTACAAACTTGACAACTGAGATGTGTTATTTGGGATATATACCATATTTTTTCTGTGATTAAAATGTTGGTGTCCATTTATAAATTGAACTCGTTTACAGCAATTAGCGTTCTATCCTAAAATAAAATTGAGTTGAGTTTTTTTGCCCAAGTACTAAATCCTTTAACAGTGCTCTTGCTCCTCATGTAATGTAGCAATGAATTTATTTCCAAAACTACTTTTTACCTGGTTGAAAAGAGTAATTCTGAGTATATATCCTGGCCTTATTTATTGCTAATAAATATTAATTTTTTCTTGCCTTTTTATATAGAGCTACTACATTTCTCAATAACAGTCTGAGTATTTGTTGGAAAAACAATAATGTTACTGTGTACTGTGTTTTAGACATTGAGTGGGTTAAACTATTTTATTCTTAAAATCTGTCAATAAAATGTAAAAAAAAATGGATTCTGAGTATATCAATTTTTTTGCTTTTTTTTGCCCACATAAGAAAATAACTGCACTTTAATAACTGCAAGCTCAGACATACATTTTTAATGCATGGTAATTAATGGAATCAGCAACGTTTCTGAACATCAGTTGGGTACAGTTTTGCCAAGAGTACTAAGAGCATAAAAGCTGTACGAAAGTAAGAATTTAAAAAATTGCACCTGTGTCTTCATTTGAAATGCGATTGGTGGTCGAAGGCATCGGGAAACAAAGACTAACGTTCTATAATAAATCACCACCTTCACTGTTGACGGCAAAATAGCAAATGATTTTTAGAGGTTTGCAAATGTATTACAATATGTAAAACACACAATGGTAGTAATTAAGAAATCCCAGTAAACTTTATGATATTATTATTGCCATTACTTTGAGCACATTTCTCACTTATTAGCTCTGATTGATGTGTAATCTTACACTTCAGTATCAAACTTCACATTCTAAGGCTATTTAAAAAGGGCAAAATAAATTTATTAAGAAAATTGAGCAGTTCTATTTTCAAAAGTACTTCTAGAAAGTATCGCCTGTTTATCTTTCATTTTTAAGCCCGAATGTCCACACACACGGCAGAAAACATGAATGATAACTCGAAACACTTTCAGTGCATTCTCATTGTAACTGGATTGTAATTTTTTTTTCCCCTGTGGGCCAAATTCTTCATGCAGTCAGCCAGTTGTAAACATGGTGCATATTTTACTAATAGCGACTGGCAACCTCCAGACACCTGGGAAATCTTGCAGAGGTGCTGAAGCGGCAGTTTTATTTAACGCTGCCATTAAGATCCAAGGCCAAAGTACCAACACCTGACAAACACTCCTTACAAAACAAAAAAAAAAAATACACCTGTGTAATAATCCAAATCCATTTACTCAAGTAACAAAAAAAAAAACAACAACGTTGATGAACGGCTAATGTACAAGGTATGACAGAGTTGGACCTTCTTATTTGGGTATGTTTACTGGAAGCCGAAGGTACAGATATTACATAAATCATACCCAAAACTACGCATTAAATCTGTCAACAATATAACAAGCCTATAAATGTGTTCTTTGCTGATTGCATGGAAATCAGTGGGTGTCACTAACCAACATTTTGTATAACTAGACAAAGCCGTGACTCTGGTTTGAAATTCCCTTTGTTCTTCATAGCTTTGTAGCCAGTAGCTGTGTATTGTCAGTGTGCCTGCAGGGTTCAGCAGTCAGTTGACCTTGGACCCCCCCAAGTTTTTTTCCCTCCTATATTTAACTAAGGAGTTTTGTTTCCTGTCCCCTTGTGTCCTTCAGCTTTTTATCACTATTCACTGACACCATTGTTTCCCGTAAACTGTGGTGCGTCAGTAACTGATACTCGTTTGAATGTCTACTAAGTGCTTTGAGGCAACCATGTTGGAAAAGATGCTATTTTAAACACAAGTGGTATGGAATCCTTTCAATCTCAGACAACACAACTTGAAGGAAGGCACTTTACATTGTAAGATCAAACATCTGCAGTACCTATATCAAGGCAAAAAAGTTGTCAGCTTGCTGGAACTCAGTAAAAAAGATCCAGATTTTCAGAATCAGGAACATGAAAAATGTCTTTTGAGACAAACAACTTGTCTAAATCCTCAGCCCTTTACCACGCTACTGCTGTTTTACACTGTGATACTCATGCCACCTTGGTCAGCTGCAGGTCCCCACAGACACGCAGTGCAGTGAGAGACGCAAGCTGGAGCAGCCGGTGAGAAAAGCCACAAAGCGGCTGGCCATCCACTAAGATACGAAACTGCTGGTGTTCACAGACGATCTCCATCTGACAGAGAGAGAGAGAGAGAGAGAGAGAGAGAGAGAGCTAGTTTGTCAGAAGTCATGCAAAAAACAGCATATATAGATAAAAGACAACAAACACTACAGAGCAGGAGAATTTACCTTGAAAGGTTCTCCAGCAGCAAAAGGGAAGTAGGACAGTGCATTTTCAGAGATGCCCCACTGCCCAGACAGACGGGCATTCCGTACAACAGCTCGGTCTGCGAAACTGACAGTGACCTGGAGCCCAACGTCACTCTGTGCATCGTCTGCATCAGGATGGTTGGCCAAGGACACCACCATCCTGCAGGAACACATGACAGGAGACGATAGTCTACAACATGGGGGCAAATTATGGCGTGGGGAAGGGTGCGCTGGGCTGGGGGTAATAACCTCCCCAATAATCAATACCAGTCAATACAACCCCCCCCCCAAAATAATCATGAAATAGGTTAGACCTTAACCCGGCAATATTCAACCCAAAGTTACTTCCTTGGTCTAAATAATCATGAAATCATCTAATGGTGATAAGTACTAGTATGATTTACCACACTGCAAGTGAGCATATTATAGTAAATTAGGCAACACATTTATGTTTTATTAAATATTTTCTATGCACAGTTCCCTGTGTAATTAATAGGAAAAATATAGACAAAGGTCTTGAAGATCAATTTTTGCACACTGCATGATACACCTATCACACACTGGTATGTCTTTGTATAATATTAACAAAGTTTACGATAAGCCATTTAACTCCTTTAAAAATTGAATATTTTAACACCTACTGATACATTATATCTGTAAAGTAAAGGCTGTCTAACGCTTTGTGGAGAATGTTATTTCGATCCTCAACATTTCTGGGAAACCAAAATAAATTCTTTGTTTCCCAGCACCTTGCTTCCCCTTTATCATTTGTTCATAAATATGATGAAATTGAGATGATATCCGCCATCTATATTCTTGTTCTATATTATTTATGCATCACACTCTATGGTTCATATCACGTGCGCATAACGCAATCGAGTGTGCAGCATATATGTCTTTGTCGGCCAGAAAATCTGTTTTTTTTTCTCTAAATTGCTAGTCCCACAGAGAATAAATTTGCAATATCAGCCAGCCCTTCAACTTGTAGTACAATCTATTTACTGTTTCAAAATTGCAGATAGAATTACGACTAAAACGAGCGACCGGCAAATCATCCATCCAATGTACTACGTAATGACAATGTGTGTTAAACTCGAAACCGGGTGGAAATTAAAGTCAAAGGTGCCAACTCACCTCTTGGGCTGTTCCTTAAAAATACCCATGACCACTAGTCTCATTGTTGGTCTTAACCCGCCCTTGATCTCTCCGACGTACAGTTCCTCCTACAAACACAATAATTCACATATCGCTATTAATGGCAACATCACATCGTTTTGGAGGAGTACAGATTTTAATCTTATTTATTAAGTAAACATAGGCTATATAAATGTTCACTGTCGATGTAGCGAAATATTCGCAATAATGTTTTTTTAAAAGGTAGGCTATCGATTTGGTGTGTAATTCGTAAAATTTTATTCCCAGGTCATTTTAAGCCTTGGAAATCAGTAATCAATTTTTGTTCTGAACCGTCTTTTTCTCACATTGAATAAACATTTTATTTTTATTTAATTAATATTACATTTTTATATCACATATAGCCTATCGAAGTTGGCTATTTACATTTTATTGTTATCGTAATTTAATGTTGATTTATTAGCATATTTTAGTTTCACGAAATGGTAAAATACGGGCATGGTATTATAAAAGAGCATACCAACATACAAATATACCGTTTTTTTTTTTTACCATGTCTCTTTACTTGATGAACGATTAATCGAAAGGATTCACACTGGCAACACTTACGTTTGCAGCCTTGTCCTTTCCTGCCATTTTCCACTTTGCTGACTATTTCTCGTCTTACGGTTTTGTGCAGCAATAACAATGATAACGCTAGAAATCCTTTATCATTGTTAAACGCTAGCAGAAAGGCTGGCAAACCCCGCCTCCGCAGCATCACCGGTGTCGGTAGCCATGGAAACAGCACACTGGGATACCGCTTCTACTTTCTTTAACCTTAAAATATTTGTTTTAATAATAGAAAAATGTATTAGACTTGCTAGCGTAATAGTTTAAGTGTTATAAATAGCGCTGAATCAATACACTTAATATGCATTATTGTGGGACTAGTGCTACAGGTGTGAATTGTTACTCCCTGCCTTCTTTAGACTGAGCCTCAAAGACGACAGAAGGTCTGTAGGCTACGGCGTATTACTTGTTGGCCGACAACATTTAGCTGAATATGATCAAAGCTTTTTAAAATAACTTTTCTGTCTTTCTGGGGTGGTGCAGTGGTTGACATTGTTGCCTCACACCTCTAATGTGATGGGGTTTCCCCCTCACAGTCCCAAAACATACTGAGCTTAGTTGGAGTTACCAAATTGCCTGTAGCAGTGCCCTGTGATGGGTTGGTGCCCCATCTTGGGTTATTCTTTGCCTTATGCCCATAGACTTCAGACCCCCCACAACCCTGAATAGGACAAGCAGTTACAGAAAATGGATGCATTTCCTTGACAATACTAATCCACTAAACTCTGTAGGATGCTTATTTTTTATTCTTTTTGGCTAATCAACCTGGTACAGGGGCTCACCAGGTATCAACTGTTGCTGTACATCTCCAGAGTTGGAAATTTGAAACATTACAGTCTTGCAATTGACTGAAATAGTTGTTATCACACAATACATATCACATCCATGCATCCTCTATAGCATCATCTTCCAATGACTTAACCAGTAATGGGTTAGATCAACCTGAAGACTATCTCAGGATGCTCAGGCCTCAAGATGATTGTGCCCTGGTGATGTGATGGCACTGTATCCATCAAGACATCTCAAGTGGCAGTTATACAATTAAACTGGATGGTGTCAGAATGACATCAATGTATTCCCCAGATGGCCCAGTCACCACCGTCCCCCATCCCTAATCCCTTCTTCTCCCACACCCGCAAGCCTCTACAGTCTATAGCCCCCAACCTCCATGGTCTTTATAAAAACGTCAACTTTGTGTGACTTGTTTCACCGGATCCACATCTGTGGCATGACTAGTGACACTACTTCCATTTTAGTGCAATTTGTCTCAAAATGAAATAGGCAATTGTTTATCACCTATACAATTTTAATGGGAAGTTTGAAAAAGATCCGTTGAATACTTTCACAGCTACTGTGTTCACAAGATTAAGTGTCTTCTGCCGCTGTCCTTTCCTTCTTTTATTGCCACCTAGTACTGCTGCTTCAATTTTGGTGCCATTTGTCTCAAAATTAAATGTGCGTGAAATTAGGTGAAGTGGTAATAATTGATTAATTACATTCACAAGGTTAAGTGCCTTTGTAGTATCACTTCCTTTTGCTGTCACTAAACAGCATAGCTTGAATTTGTCTCAAAATTTGATCAGTTCCAGATCTTCACTCATGCAACGTGTTTGTAAAAGTTTGAAAAACTATCTAAAATATTTTTTGAGTTATTGTAATAACAGGATGTGTCTTAGTTTTCTTTGATATCACTATGCAGCAATTTTGGTGTTGCAAAATTTGATCATTTCCAAATCACAACCCGCTCTTCTATGAACACTGTCTTCCAATGAAACAAACTCCTTCTCCATAAATGAAAGTTAAGGGGAATATATCATCCTTGAAAGTTATCTTCCAGGAATTAAGCTCTTGCTTGTGAAAATAATATTGAATAGGTAGTTTACCACATTTATAGTCACATGGAAAAAAAAATCAAAATACCACATCGTTCAAGGACCAAATTATGAATTCAGTACAAAAGTCATATAATATTTGAAATATATTTCTTTATCCGGTTTACTTTGAGAACTTAGTCTGAGAATGTAATATGTTAGACCCTTATTTATTATCGCTTAATATGAGTAATAATACTAGAGTAGTTGATTTGACATATTACATATAAACAGGTCAAACAAAACAATGTGAAGTTCCAGGGTAAATGAGACGTTCCGCTTGTTTACTCCATTACTAAAATGGTTACAGGCGCTACCGGCTACCCCCAACTTTCTTCCGGTTCAATCAGCTGACATTGTCACATGACTGCTACATCATGGCCGAACACAGGCAATAACAACTAGGAAGCAAATTGCGATCAAATTGAGAAGTAGTGTGTGTCCATTTGGAAAAGTGTAAGTAATTTTTCCGCGCTTCATAAACACGTCGTCTTGACAACGTGTTTTGAAACGTTTAAAAATAAATTGGATAGTCAGCTAGGTATGCACCTGTCTATAAATGTTTTTTTTTCGTTGTGTCTCACAAATCTTTTGTGGTTTTTTTTCTACATTATTTAAACTTAACAATCTGTATTGTTTTCTTGCTGAATTTTCAGAATATCCTGTATTTAGTACGGCATTTATGAATTTGCTTGGTAAAAAGGTGAACTTTAGATATTGTTCTTGTATATTCACGTGATTTCTGATGACATGTCTTCTGTAGTGTTAGAGGTATTACCTGACGTTTTTCTAGCGACATCGTTACAAATGGGTGTAAGCTTTTTATGCATCGACTATAGTTGTGTCCGATATATTCCTGTCAGGTCTTCAGTTTAGTTGAGCTAGTGCCTTAGCAGAATATGTTTCTGCATCGAAAAATGTTCCTGAATTAAACTGAATATCGCCGTTACAGATGGCACGTGGTGAGTGGTCACCTGGTGAAAAAGGCGATGTGCTCCCGTGAGCAGGCCCCGAAGGAGGATCGCAAAATGCACCCGTTCTCTTGTGAGGAGGACAGCTCTATGGAGCAGCTCTTCAGTTTTTTCACGCTGTGCTTACAGTGTGGGGACTGGGAGCTTGCTCAAGCTTGTGTGCCTCAGCTGAATAACACCACATGCACAAGCACACAGTGCTTGCAGGACATTCTAAAATCCTTAGTGACCTGTCCATATGTGCTCAAGTAAGTCCATGTTGACGGGGTAAGAAAATATGCTTTGATGATGGTTGGTGTGGTGCAAGATGCTGGACTTGTATAAATAATATATGTATGTTCAGATATTAATAATGAATTATATGCTGCAGGTGGGAGACGGTGGGCAGTCCGCACAGACTGGCATGGCTATGGCTGAAGATTTCAGAGAGATGGGCACATGAGCAGGTACAGTCAGATTCTCCAGCTACTGTTGGACTCGGTTATTTATGTGGGAAGAGGGTCTTCAAGTTCAGGTTTGTAAACTGAGTGCCATCTGTTATATCATACCATGCGTTTGGACAAAATAAGGGACCTGAATTATTCCAGTAAGATATTGGAATAGAGTTGCTTTCTATAACCGCTAAGTAATGGAGTTTGTAAATATGTTTGCTTGGTTGGCAGTTCAAATATCATTTTCTAACTCTTTATCTGCCTGCAGGTTGCTGTGCGGGTTAAGAACGAACTAGAGTTTCTTCTGATCGTGGAGGAGCTGGAGAACATGGTGCCAGAGGAAGTGCTTAAGGTGCCTTTTATTTCCAAGCAGTCATGAGCTGCTATAAATAGTTCATATGTTTCTAAAACAAAATAACAAGGAGTAAAAGGTATGGTGACTCGAGCAAGAGAGACTAAGGGGGGACATGATCCAGGTATCGCATAGCGTGTGATTAGAATGTGGAATAGTCTGTCCAAAGGGGCAGTGCAAGCTAAGAGCCTAGATTCCTTCAAATCTGAACTTGACAAAGTCCCGCTAACTTAAAATTATTAGTTTAATTCCTTCGAGCTCAACGGGCCAGATGGCCTCCTCTCGTTTGTAACTTTATGTTCTTATATTTTAAAATATGTGATTGAATTACCTGTGTGTGCATCTTTTCAAAATGCAAATTAGCTGCTTGCGTATTACAGGAATGGTGTCTCGAAAGGACACAATAGATACACTTAGGAATTGCAGCCGGTACTTAGTGTTTGTCTTTCTCAGGAACTGCACCAGGCTTTCAGGAGTGTCCAGATAGAGAAGAAGGGGACCATGGTGATCCTGAGTGCGGAGGCTGAGTGCTGCCTTGGGACGCTGCTGGATAGAAGTCGCCCCAGGCTTGCCCAGGCCCTGGTCCATTTCCTGCAAGGCCACAGAGCTGATGATGATGCATGCGATAGGAAGCACCTGCTACAGGAGGCCTTCATCCAATTCCTGTTGGCAAAAGTGCAACAGTCAGGGCAGGCTGAGGTTGGCTGGGAGGAGAAACTGTATTCGGCACTGGCTGTCATGCCCTGGGGCCCGGAGCCAGTGGAGGGGCAGCTGCATGACCTGTGTAGGGCCCTGTGGGCTGCCAGCACTGGCCCGCTCAGTGAGGAGAGAGTGCTGAGCTCCTTACTACGCCCTCGCTGTCATGCCGCTCTCTCCTTCTACTGCTCTATGGCTGTGCAGCTCCAGAGAGACGAGCTGCTGAAGGACGTGGCCGCATCACAAGGTTGGAGTCACAGGCTTGTGTGCCTCTGCTGTTAGTCCTGTGCTTTTGTAAGTCTGCTAATAGCTAATCACCCATCTCTCAGCTGCTTTTGCTGAACAGGATCGTGAGGGTTAACGGTTCCACTTTTGTTAGAATCTTTCTGGCAGTATGCACAGAAAATACCATCTAAAATCACACTTGCATACTGTAGCAGCTACAGATACACATGCATTCTTTCCAACAAATATACAGATGCTCCCTGGGTCGCGTTACCATAAACGTATCGTAAGTGAAAATGCATTTCAATACAGTATATTAATACAGTATACCTAACCTAAGACGACTTCCATTATTTTTAAATTCAGGGACAGTCTCCCTGGAGCATGTTGGAGTTAAGGGTCTTGCTCAGGGATCCAGTGATGGTAGTGCCAGAGGTGGGACTCAAACCCATGATCTCTTGGTCCAGAGACAAGAGACTAGACCACCAAGCCTACCATAGGGCCAAATCATTAACACAAAGTCTGTTTAATATCTTGTATAATTATCGAATAAATCATACCCATCGTAATCTCAAAACGCGAACTGCATCTTATCTATCTTCGGAGTGTGTGCTTGTGCTTACTCAGCTTTTACTATAATGTGAGACACATTTGCTTATTAGGATTCATCGCAATATATTAGTGTAGGCATTTCAGGAGCTCACCGTAACGTTATATCCTGTTCCTCCACCTTGTGATTGTCCTGACAGTAGACCTGACTGAGGCAGGGAAATTGATGCTTGGGCTCTGTTGTCATGCTGAGCGTGCATCTGCATGGAAGGCCATCTACTTTGAGTGTCTGAGCAGCAATAAGCACTTCCTGGATCAGGTTCTGGTAAGTGTGGCCGCGGTTACTTACTTTTGGTAAGGGTTCTAAAATCTGTCAGTTAAAGATCTATTCATATTATATACAGATGCTCCCCAGTCGTATCGTTAGGCGAAAATAGCATTTTAATACAGTACACCTAACCTAACAAGCATCACAGGCTAGCCTAGAGCCCACCTTAAACATGCTTAGAACACTTACATTAGCCTACAGTTGGGCAAAATCATTAACACAAAGCCTATTTTATAATAAACTGCTGAATATCTTGTGTAATTTAAGAATAATCATACCCATCGTAAAGTTGACAAATGGACTATTGTAACCTGGGATCATCTGAATTAAAACCTAGTCCTGCTGTATTTTATTTGTGGGGTGATCCCCTTGTGATAGTTAACAGTTTTATCGTTCATCCGGTTCCCGTAGATCACAGCGCTGGACCTGATTAGGAGGGAGGAGTTCTCCAGGCTGAAGGACCTTACAGCTGCCGAATTCCACCCTCTCTCCCGTCTCTTGTTGCTCCTGGGTTGGACTCACTTGCAGAGTCTGGGCTCAGCACAAAAGCTGCTGGAAACTCTTCACCACAGTCAGGTGAATCTCTCGCACCAGTCTGGCTTTTTCCCACCGTGCACTAGTCCTGTCATAGTCAGTTCCTCTCTGTTAACATTGTGTGTTAATGTCACATTAATGTTATCATACCTTGAAATTGATTATTAAATATGCAAACAGACAATTAGGAACAGTTGTAAACCAAAGGCAATGGGTCTGTCGACGTGTCTATAACAAAACCTAACACTTACTTAGTTACATATTGTAAACATAATTATATAAATTAAATTAATCAGAAATATAGCAACATAAAAATTATAATGAACGAAATCCCATCTAAATCCTGTTTTCTGCTACTGAGTAGGATCGCATGACTGTAGCGATAAACACACCTATAGCTGTAGTATTTATTTTAGCCTGCTCTGAATTTCCCGGCAAAAGGGCCTTAGATGCCACAAGGATACTAACCTGCAGATGCAGTTTCTCTCTGCCCTGCTCCACTCGTACAAACCCTCAGATGATCGTCTCGAATGATTCAGAGCGTTGGATGTGATTCCAGCATCCATTCTTGTTCTTATCAGCTACTCAGTGTATTTTATTGGAAAATCAAATTGCTCCCAAACTGCCAATTATGACTGACTGTAATCAGCATTAGCTGTAAGCAGCTCACAGCCACGATTAGCACAATGTTTTCCACGTTGAACATCTACTTGTGAATTTAGGTTACGCCTTTGTCGATAAATGTCTTAATTTGTTTCATTGTGAGTACTGAACTATAAATGGCGATTCGTTTACCGTTACAGCCCAACTTTAAGTGGTTGGTGTAACAATAAAACCCCACTTGACTTGATTGTCTTTCTTTACTCCCACAGGCACTAGCCAATGATTCTGTCCTGAAGGACTTTGTTGATGGTTTGTCCTCACAGTTGGGAGTTCTTGAGTGGTGTGCCAAAAACAGCCCGTGAGTAACACGTATCACATATATTTACATAATTCCCAGTGCTCTTGATAAAATGCTTTAAAAGTTGTGTGTTTTGTGTGTGTGTGAGCAGAGGGACTCCCAGCGCCGCCCTCCTGGCCCAGCTGCACACTCTGGACAGCCACTCCTCCCTCTTCATCCTGCAGTCGTTAACCCCGCTTCCTCAGCTGGATGAGCGTAAGGTTCTGGAGCTGTTTGGCTTGGCCCACTCTCCCAGCTCAGGTCTGGAGTCCAGTTAATCTCTTACCCATTTTGGTTTACTGCTGAGCAATCCTTCACGTCCTCAATTCTCCTTTGATCAATAATGACGACGCTTCTCTTTTAGGTGATACAGACACTGCCCATCCTGTTGACACACCGAATCTGTCTGCGCGGAGGAACGTGGTGCTCTTCCAGGGCTTCTGTGCCATGAAATATGCTCTATACGCAATTTGCGTCAATGCCCACAAGTACTCTGGCTGTAGGGACTGTTTAGTGGCAAAAGAGCCGCAGGAGCTAGAGTCAAAGATTGAGCAAGACCAGACTTCCACTCTCTCTCAAGGTATCTGTACAAGTGGCCTCTATACATTTTCCACATTTTTGTAGACCAGGGTTATTCAACTCACGGTCCTCAAGGTCCGAGCACTGCTGGATTTACAGCCTTCCCTTACCTGTCAGTCAGGTGTGAAGCCTCTGACCAATCAGAATCAGTAATTATTAAACAACTACCTGGGGGGACTGAAAACACGGCCTGGATTTGGAATCAAGGTCCAGAGTTGAAGAACCCTGTTGTAGACCAATGCTTTTCAAGCCGGTCCTCAGGAACCCCGCAGATAGTCCACATTTTTGCTCCCTACCAGACAGTCTACATTTTTGTTCTCTCAGCAAAAACGTGGATGGTCTGGGGTTTCCCAAGGACCCGTTTGAGAAGCACTGTTGTACACTAATATCACAAAGACTATATGCTACTATGGTATGGTAAGTTTTTTCTTGTCTCTCGCTCCCTCAGGTTTTTCCGTATTATTTCAGTATTACCTGTCCGAGTGCCAGCTTTACCTGGAAGCCGTGCCCGCCCTGTTTCGGCTTGAACTCTTGGAGAATATCTTTTCGTTGCTCTTTCTGTCTAGTGCTGACTTTGTCCTTAGTCGGGAGAGGGACATTGAGCATGGACTGCCCCATGAACAGTACTTGCCATCTCGGTGCGGTTTGGAAAAGTCTGACAATCCCGAATTCAGAAAGGAGAGTAAAGGTGGTGGAGTAGTGGTGGATTGGACCCTGCAGCAACCCCAACAGCCCGGAAGACACACACTACAAAATCTGGTGTGTAATTATGTGGATCTGGGCCATTTTATCCAGGATTGCAAGGGATTCCTGGTAGATACAGTGGCTATGGAAGGTTTTCTAAGGCTTTTGAGAGAGAGCCTGGAGGGGGTTTGTGTGGTAGGCCAAAGGGATGGCCTGGAAGAGGGAAGAGCGTTGGCTGGGGAGGAAGAGATGGCCGAGAGCCTGGGCTGCTCCGTAACTCCAGAGACATTCGGAACGCGTCTCCAGAGGCTCTCCAAACGGATCGCTGAGGCACATTGGAGACTGCAGGTTATCACTAGTAACCATGGCAGCAGCAGCAGTAAGTAACTGAGCTTGTGGTTCTTTAGAGCAGGGTTTCCCAACCCAGTCCTCGGGGACCCCCAGCCAGTCCACATTTTGCGTCCCTCCCAGCCAATCAGGAACACCGAAAACCTGGGATAGGTGTGTTAGGAGCTGGATTAGAGTGAAAATGTGGAGTGTCTGTGGGTCCCCAAGGACTGGATTGGGAGACACCTCATTGGATGATGTCAGACAAGTATGCTTGTGCAGATATATTTTGGGACATTTGGGGAAAATGTCCTTCAGTCACCAAGTGACTTTATTAGCTTTAAAATGTCCAAATATTTTGATATTTTCTCTGAATTACCGTCTGTTTGTGTTGGGTTTGCATTGAAGTGGGGATCAGTTGGAAAGACAGAAATGCAAATGTGCATGAAGGCATGTGTTTCTGCTATGTTTTGCGAATATGTAACGTGACCATTAAATGCAATACAGGGATTTAGCCAAGCATTGCAGAAAATAGAAATGAAACTTTTGGTTTTGTCTTGCTGGTGCAGATGGGCAAATACCGACCACAAAATTAGTCAGCAGAGTTCCATCTCTGAAACACAATGGAGGGATGAAGAGGAGGAAGAAGAGCAGGCGACACCGTACGGAGCGGCATTCTACAGCGGAGCAGCACAACGGAGAGGTCAGCACCAGCACGTCAGGTATGTTGACCAAAAATCGTGAATGAATGTCATGAAAGTGGAATTACAAGAAGCAGTTTTGTTCAATTGAATTGCACAACCAATTTGAATTGCAATTCTGCTGATTTTCATTGCGGGGATCGCAGTTCCTGTAATCTAAACTCATTGCGTCAATAAACGCTGAATTTAAGTCAGCAGGCACTTAAAAGCCAATGATAGCATCTTTATTAAAGCTTAGCGACGTTATGCAGCAATAAGGTGAAGGTACCAGTTTATGTAACTGCATTTTTATGGATCACAAGATTAAAGAGGAGTGATCAGACAGACAGACAGACAGACGTACATGTGTGTATATTAATATCGCTGCAGGGGTTTTCTATGGGAAAACCATAATCCTAACAATGGCAACCGTAACCCCTACCCAGCCCTAAACCTTAGCCATAAGTAACCAAACAAAAAACAACACTTTTGGCACTTTTGGGAGGGGGGTTCGGGACTGATTAGATCTTTGCCAGTTTTGAAACCAAATCCACGTCCTTCCTTTTAAGAAATGCCGAGTTCAGTATCATGTAATGCCGACGTTTTTTACTGTCACTAAAGACTTCATTAATATTTAGCATTTGTGTACTGGCAGATGGAAGTGTTGGTGTAGCAGGCGCTCCGGCAGAGCAGGAGCCGTGTCCGTGTGGAGGTCCTCACAGCTGGCTAATTCCAGCCATGCTGTCGAGCCCAGAGTCACTGCTCATATCCTGTATCCGCCGGGGGAACTTTCTGGAGGCTCATCAGGTAACTAGCAGGGCTTAGCAAGCCCAGGGGCAGCTGAAGACCTTTGGACATGCATTTAGGCTTCTACGTTCTCTTCCCACAGGTCTCTCTCATGTTTGGTTTGGATGGCTCCGCCTGCTCTGGCGAGTTGGTCTTTATGGAGCACCACCGAGATGTCCTTGTAGAGCTGGGCTGCGTGGAGCAGAAGATAGAGAACCAGGTAGCAGATGGATCGGCCAGTGGACGCAGCAGACTTGGCAGCAGTGGAAGGTCCACGCTGCAGGCCATCGGGAGTGCTGCCGCGGCAGGTACCTTGTGCTAAGCCCTTCCTGTTGATAGTGTCAATTAAAGCACTCATGTGTAATGCATTATAGATACCTTCATAATGCCTTTATGAAGTATTATAAACATGACTATATTTATTAAAAGGCATAACACATTATAGCCATGTTTATTATGTATTTTGAATGCTTTATGAAGCTCTCATCTGTAATGCACTATAGATATCTTCATAATGCATTATAATGGCTTATACTGATGATTACAATGTATTATAATGCATTATGAAGGTATCTATAATGCATTATGATGATCGCTTTAAGTAAAGTATTACTCATAGTTCCAACGGTTCTTCTGCAGCAATGTAGAACTTGTGTTATTTTAATAAGTATGTTTAATAAGTAGTACTTCATTTTCCAATTATCGTAAATGGCGTCCTTCGAGATGGCGGCATGCTAAGTTGCTGAGGCCTCTCTGGGTCCAACACTGGTGTGAAAGTGTGCTTTCAGTCGACTATTTATTGCTGTCTTAATCCTGCATTTTTTGCAATCTTCTGCTGATAGAATACAGTATCTTTCATGATACTGTATTCGTTCAACCTAGTACTGTCACTGCTTTGGTGGACTGCACTGTATGTTGTCTTGTCCTGTAATTGTAGTCTTGTGCTGTTTCTGTGTTTGTTCTTTGTGCTGCACCACGGTCCTGGAGAAACAATGTTTCGTTTCACTCCGTACTGTGTATATGGCTGAAAAGACGATAAACCTACTTGACTTAAGTAAAGTAACAGACTGAGGTACTAGTGGTCATCCTTAAAGATGACTTATGCTCTTCTCTTCTCTGTGGAGGCATGGCCTTCTACTCTATCTCAGACATGGCAGATATGCTCCTCAGCACCCCAGGACGCCCAGTGCCCTCTTTGGAGGAGGACTACTGGCTAAATCACAAGGTACCAGACCCCTCTGGCGTGCTCCATGCTCTGCTGGAGGAGTTCAGTCCTGCCAGCATGGCGACCTTCGACCTGGCCTGCTGTCACTGTCTGCTGTGGAAGACTTCCCGGCAGCTGCTGGAGACAGCAGAGCGCAGGCTGAACACCACTTTGGAAGGGCGAGGTGGGTAGCAGAGTGTGGTATAGCACTGGAGTGAGTGTGGTATAGCACTGGAGTGAGTGTGGTATAGCACTGGAGTGAGTGTGGTATAGCACTGGTGTGAGTGTGGTATAGTACAACTGTCTTCAGAAGTGCACAAAACTGACCCTACTATTATCACTTATTTTTTGTGTTTTGTTTGACTTTAGTCTAGTGATACAACACAATTAATTTTTGTTTTAGGTTTGTAAAATTGGTTGAAGCATAACTTGCCTGCTGTCGTTGCATGGTTTCTTCCATCACAACTTCTATTCTTTTACTCAGGAGTAAGAACGGACTCTACGGTGCCCCATTCTCATGGGATTAAGGGGTTTCCTGCTGTGCTTCAGCAGATCAGCAAGATCATAAACCACTCTGTCAGCGGCAAAGGCTCTCCCAGGGCCGGTATGGGCATTTTATTTCTAAATGCCAGTGATTTTTTTTTTACATGGGTGTTGCATCAATATCACATATCGGTGTCTGATCCAGTGTTTCTGTGCCGTCTTGCAGTGCAAGAAGATTTTTGGCGGCAATAGCTGCCAGAAATTGAGTGAAAACCATAGATACATTAAAAACATAACATGTAATCTTCATGAAGTCTCTAGAAAAGTGCAATAAATCTTTAGCCAATAAGAGCAACAGTAATATTTTTTTTAAGCCAGGAGTGTCAAACTCCAGTCCTGGGGGGCCGGAGCCCTGTGTATCTGTAGTTCTTTCCCTGTTCCACCACAAATGATTCAGCTCAGTCCGGTGTGTTAAACGAGGGTAAAACCAAACAATATGCAGGACTGGGCCTCCAGGACTGGAGTTTGACACCCCTGCTTTAAGTTGTTAGATTCCATTTAAATAATTATTAATAATTATATCTCAAGCTATAAAAGAATGAAGGGGAATCCTGTAAATTCTGATACTCTCTTACTGATTGACATTCGTAAGCTAGAAGAAGTCAACACTTTATATCCAATAAATCTGTTTCCCAATCCAGCCCTCGGGGTCCCGCAGACAATCCACGTTTTGCCTGTCTGGCTGGGAGCCGGGAGAGAGCAAAAAGGTGGACCGGCTGCGGGTCCCTGAGGACCGGGTTGTGGAACGCTGCAATAAATCCTTATACTTATTGTAGCAATCTTTTCTTAACCACTTGGCACCAAACGCACATGCGCTTTGCCTGCAGAACTGCCGAGCGAGGAGTCCGCAGCTGCGAGTCCGTTTGGCTGCAGCGCTCGGGAGGTGCTGCTCTGCTTGCATCCGGTTCTGACCGAAGAGGACATTTCTGCACGACTCTCCCTGGCCCAACATCTAGAGCAGACCCTGTGCACCCTGGCATCCGCTACAGACTCTGCAGGTCAGAATGCGTCCTTAGAGGTGTATATGGCATGATCCTCATCGCCGGAATTTGTTCCCCAATCCTGTCCTCGGGACCCACAGCCGGTCCATGTTTTTGCTCACTCCGGTCTCCTGGTAAATGTGGACTGTCTGTGGATCCCGAAGGACCAGAATGGGAAACGCTGCTTTTAATGATTTCTTATGCAGTTATTTTAGTGATTACGCTGCGATAATGAATTTCTTTGCTAACGACAAACTGTATAACTGTAGTAATTAAGGTAGGAAAATGGTTTAAAGTAAAAACCGGAATACATATCGCCCTCTGTGGAAGGAAGGGAAGATGTTGGCATTTAAGAATCTGTCTTTGTGGCGTTAAATGCCCATGTGTGGGCACATGCGGGTGCATCTTAAATTCTGTTGTCCCCATGCAGCTGATGGCCGTGTGGGCGGGGGGCTTCTGGCTGCCTTAGTGGAACAGGCGAGCTTCAAGCAGTCCGAGTTGGACTCTCATCCCGTGCGTTCCCAAATGAAGCAGTTACTCCGCACTTTGGACCAGCTCTGTCCATCTGAACCCGACAGCGCCCCCTTTAGGCCAGATTACGTGCGTAGCTTCCTGGACTACGTCAACACATTGGCTGTGGTACTAGTCCGGAGCCTTAGTTCGGAAGGTAAGGTGCTTCTGTTTTATACCTCAATGGTCGGACTCTACGTGTGAGCAGCGCTGACGCCCAGTCTTTTCCGTACGCCAACTTTTCCCAACTTTATAGACCAAACAAGCGAAGTCAAGCTCGGAAACCCTCTGCTAGTTCTGCTGCAACTTCCTTCTCAGCTAGTCTCTCACCTGCTCTTTGACCGACAGGTTTCTCCCATCAGGTAGGCCACTCCATCATCGACTGCTACTTTGTTTACTTCATATTGCCTGTAGATCGTCAGCTATATATATTATGCCGCCAATATCAGTGTGAAAGTGAATGAAGTTTGTGTGATATTCTGTCCTCCTTGTTCTTCCCTTTCTGCAGGGTGTCGTCCTTGCTGGAACAGGAGGGCTTGGGTTTGAACATCCAGCAAGTGATCGTCCAGCGGTGCTGTGAGACACTCCCAGTTTGGGAAACCTGCTGTGAAAGTATGGGAGAGACTGGGAGAAAGACTGGGGGCCTTCTTAGCTTGAATAGTGTCAAAGTCTTCCTCCAGAAGTACAGTCAGGAGCATCCTCTCACCGTGTGCCCCAGCAGCTGTGATGCGCCTCCCTCCTCTGATTCAGATGCATCTCCAGAGGAGGCAGCTTCTCTAAGTTCAGGAGCAAACTCTTCGCAGTCTTCCCCGGCATCCTCTAGCTCCTCCAGCTCGCTTCTCCTGACCCCCTCGTCTCTATCCTTCCTGAAGTCCCACTCCCCTATCCTGGCAGTTCTTGCCTGCCTGAGCGCTTGCCGCGGTGGAGCCGGCCGGACCGGGTCCGCCTGGCCCGGCCTCCCCGCCTACTTCCGCAGTGGCCGAAAGGAGGGCGTCCTGGACATCGAACAAGTCGCTCGGGAAGCGGAGGCCCTGTTGAAGGACCTCCCGATCCTTCATGCCTACCTTCAGACCATGGCCCAGCCGGTGCTGGGGCCCGTGGGCAGCCCCGAAGGCAGCGGCGCCGTGTCTGGCTTGAGTGCTTCCCTGTGTGGTTTGCCGCTAGCCGGCCTGCTGCTCTCCGGCCTGCATCGAGCCTCAGCCTGTTCTGCGGCCGCCGGAGCGTTCCAACAGGCGCTGACCGACCGAGACGTAGAACGTGCCTTAAATCTTTTAGAACTGTATGGGCAGGACAGCCACCAGGAGCAGAAGCTACGGGATTCCTTGCTGGCGTGTTCAGCCCTACGAGGTAAGAGGCTGTGATGTCATCACCATCTCAAGTCAAGGCAAGTCGAGTTGTATTGTTATGTTAGCGATACGCAATATATAGTGAAACTAAATAATCTACCTCCTGGACCCATGGTGTAACATTCATGACACTACAAACATTACAGTGCTAAAGACAGAGCTTTGAAGTAGTTTTACATAATGCAGGTTCCTGTGGAATTATTATTAATCTGCACTTTATAAAGTTGAAGACACAAGCCTAGGTTACCATAACTCACAACTGTTGTAAGGTGGATTCCTTTGTGTATGTAAATCTGTTTGTGAGCATTTGTCTTTTGCTGTCTTGGTAGTCATCCATGGTTGCTCGATCACCCTTCTGATATTGTGCTTTCGTTCAGAGGGGAACAGGACTATGGAGCATCTTTTTCGAGTAGAAGATGCGGAGCTGAGAGCGCGTGTGGCCCTTCAGGGCCTGGAGCAGTGGCCGCTGGCATCGTGCCTCGAGCTGCTGCGCTTTTGCCTGAGCGACGGCAATACCGAGTGCAGCCTGAAGGAGGAGCTAGAACTGAAGAAGCAGGAACTCCAGATCTACCAAAGGGTGACCACGGGTTTTCACAAGAATCTCCCATCAGATTTGTGTATATGATTCTTCTAAAGATAAAATTTTGGGAACTAGTCATTTTTCTCGCTTTCCTTTCTGCTTAGATGCTGAATTTGCAACCCCCATTGCCCTGGGCAACATGGCAGGAGCTGAAAGTTCAGTCTGGGTGCAACACTGAGGCAGTCTTCTGCATGATGCTGGAAGCCAATGTAGGTCCTGCTTCTGCTCCTCGTTGACCTAAGCCAGTCACTCCCAACCCAGTCCATACGGACCCACAGGCAGTCCCCGTTTTTGCTCCCTCCCACCTCCTTGCTTTCCTGGTAGGGAGCAAAAACATGGACTGTCTGTGAGTCCCTTAGGACCGGGGTGGAAAAAGACTGACCTAAGCTTTATGATTCACCCTAGTTCAGGCTGAATCATGCGGGGAGTGCACTACTGCCGCATGTAATACCTCTCATATACTTTGCCTGTCCTTCCTGTCAGGAGTTCCAGTTGTGTGGACAATGGGTCCAGCTATATCCAGTTTCTATGCAACTTAGGCTACAGCTCCAGACCGAACACCTGCTTCACCTGCTGGAGAGGGGACAGATGGAAGAAGCCTTTCAGGTGCCAAGTGGGGTTTAGGTCAACCAGAGGCCTCTGTTGACTGCATAAGTCCTGGTCATCTAGGTCTGTGTTTCTCAGCCCGGTCCTTGGGGACCCCCAGGTGCCCCTTCCAGCTCCCTGCCAAGACAGACCACCTTTATAGACTGTCTGGGGGTCCCCAAGGACTGGTTTGACAAACACTGTCCTAGCAGCATGTGTCAGTGAGTTTCCAATTGCTTGCCTTCAGCAGTTGGCATTTCGGGTCCAGGAAAGTAAAAATCCAGACCAAGATTTTGTTTCAACCAAGAGTCACAGTCACAGAGTACTCAGCTTTCTGGACCTGAGATGTCCACCTCTGCTTGTCTTGATAGTACTGTCACTTACCCTGTCACAATCTGTTCTATTTAGCCCTGAGTGATTCTTTGTAATGCACTCAAGCAGTGAAGCTGTCATCACGCCGATTCTTTGTAGCACTTGTAGGTGATAGTTGCAGTGGTGTTGACTTTACTATATATTTTAATGAAGTAAAATGAAGTTTTCCTGCCTCCCTTTTTAAAAATGATCCTCATTGTCCTTTTTTATTATTGTCCTCAGCTGCTGGAGAGTCTGACGGACTCAGCCCTGTGCTTAGAAGTTTGTGAGCATGCTCTGGACCGGCGGCCTGGGCTGGCTGCGTGTCACTTCCTGGCCGATTACCTTACGCTGCATTTCCAGGACGGCATGTCTCCTGCCCGCCGTCATCTCATCCATGCCCTGCATCTAGGTTCCAAGGTCAGGATCCACTGTGACGTTGGTTTTTTTGCTCTTTGAATAATATAGTATTAAAAACTGTAACAATTTTTTTTTTTTTTTTTTTGCAACCGCTACAATGTTGGTTCTATCATTAGTCTGTTTTCCATAATCATAAACATATAGTGCTTTTCGAGACACCCAAAGCACTTTACAGAACCAATGGGGAGCTGCGTCAACCACCCCCACTGTGTAGCCCCCACCTGGATGATGTGACGGCAGGCATTCTGCCCCAGTATGCTCACCACACAGTAGCTAAGGTGGTGAAGGGGGAGGAGGGAATTCACCAGTTAGATTTATGGGATGATTAGGAGGGCAGATTCAATAGGGCCACAGCAGGCAATTTTAGCCAAGACATCGGGGTACCACCCCTAACCCTTTTGAAAGAAGCCCAGGGATCATTTATAACCTCAGAGAATCGGAACCACAGTTTTACTTCTCGTGCGAAGGACGGCGCCATCTTTTGCAGTGCAGTGTCCCCGTCACTGCGCTGGGGCAGTGGGATCCACACGGACAACAGGATGGGCTAATCTTTTGGCCACATCAAATACTCTGTTCGTGATGTGTGATGTGTGAAAGCGTTGGCACCTTTTCCGCACTGCAGGTACTGCTGACCCTGCCCCCAGACGCTCAGGAGGACTATTTCCCACTGCTGTCGAACCCCCTGCTCATGCTGGAGCAGCTGCTCATGAACCTGAAGGTGGACTGGGCGGCAGTTGCAGTACGCACGCTTCGGGGTCTACTGCTGGGCCAGGAGTGCATCATCAGTCCCGGCGACATTGATGCGCTGTTGTCCAGTTATGCACGCAAGGCCCTGGAGTTCCCCTACGCTCCCAGAGAGAGGACACGTTCTGGTCTGTCCTCGTATACCATGATAACATGTGGCGGAACATTCATACTTTAAATGTGCGGTTCAACTGGTAAGCGTGTAGATAAAAGTACATTTGTCCTTCTCATTCCCCACAGACTCAGTCATTAGTCTTCAAGACGTCCTGACGCAGTGTCCTGCTCAGGAGAGCAGCTCCTCCTCAGCAAGTTTGGAGACGTCACCTTCCACTTCAGGTGAGACCTGCCAGCGCAGTGAATTTCACAATATCAGACCTGCCATGGAGGTATTTGTCGTCTTTTCAGGAGGCACCATGGATGAACAACAATGAAAAGACCTGTCTTTAGACACTCAGCCTTAAATCGCTTAAGGGAACACCCTGTGCATTTCCTATAGACACTCAACAATGATGTAGTTCCACTTACCATTTCGGTTAATGCTATTATGTAACATAGAATCTGTCACTAGATCTAGTAAACAGATGACTTTTAGTAGCAGGGTAGAATAAGAATGTGTGTGTGTGTGTGTGTGTGTGTGTGTGTGTGTGTGTGTGTGTGTGTGTGTGTGTGTGTGTGTGTACATGTATACATACACACACACACATTCTGGGGGTGGGAAGGGAATTGATTCTGTTACGAATTGCGATTCTTCAAGGTAGCGATTTTAGTATCGCCACAACTAACCGCAAGTGTGAAATGTAAACGTACATTGAACTTCTGTATACCTGTTCCCTGAAGAACAAGTTTCTAAACAAATTGAAATATTTACACATTTTTTAAACACCACCCTCGGCTTTGACCCCCCCGTCTTGCGCTTTCATTGGCTGTTGCTCCCCACTGCATTCACAGCCAGTCGCACTGTTCACACTGCAGGATTTGGAATTGCTGACAGGTCCGGATGTTTCACCTGCTAGATATCTGACTCTGTCCGGTCACGTCTCTGAGCCAATAGCAATCAAGCATTGGCAGCACCAAGCAAACGCCGATTTGTCTCTGATCTGGGGCTTTTGTTGCCGATCGGCAAAAACGTTCGGAGCTAAAATTGTATGGTGTCAACGTAGCTTTTATTTTTTTATTTTAAGCTCGGTCTGAATTTCCTGGCAAAAGCAAACACTCAGATGGTGTTCAAAATGAGTTCGAGTGTTGGATGTGTTTCTAGAAAAATACCAGAGTTTGGTATAACAGAGCTGACCGACATTCTTAGTCTTATCATTAGTCTTATGCCCTCTCTCTGGTGTTGGTGCTATTTATTGTAGGGTGACCAGACAATCCATGTCAGGGAGGACACTTTGAGCTACTTCGGGTTTTACAAACTACTTTCTAATTGAAAGGCTCCTGTGCTCGGCTAAATAGTTCAGCTCTTCTTGTGCTTTGACTGGTTTGTTTCCTTGACTGAAAGACTCATCCAGCTGTATCACATTAGCATTAGTGACACATGCATGATTATAGGAGACTGACCAATCAGCACACAGCAAGAACTGAGTGCTCAAGTGAAATCCAGGTCCGTTTAATTGAATTGGTAATTTACAATTCCTGTCCTAGCTCAGAGTGTCCTCCCTGACATGGATTATCAGGTCACCCTAATTTATTGGGAAGCCAAAATGTTCCCAAACTGCTGATTTAAGTGACTTAAGAGGGTCTTTGAGCTCTCTAACACTAGCTGTAACCAACTCCGTTGCCATTAGCATTTCGCTTTCCATCTTGTACATCTATTTGTGAACTTCAGTTTCATCCGTGTCAAGACAAGTATTAATTCGTTTCATTGCGCTTTCCAAATTGAAAATGCTGTGACAGAAAGACACGATGAATATGTGTACTGTTACAGCCCTTGTCTGTACTTTAAATGTAGACCTGAAATGCTCTTTCTCAGTCTGTCCTCAGTAATGCCACACAAACGGATACAGTATCTATTTAGCCCTGAACGATACTGGTAAAAAAAAAAAAAATCACATTGTGAAATTTTTAGGATCGCGATTGCTGTTCATAACGGTGCTTTTTGTTATTTAACGCGTTTATGTCACGATACAGATGAAACAGACAAGATGAAATAAGAGCGTGCTCCTTATCCTTCATTACGAATCCACGCGTTACTAAGGCCAATTCACTGCGGGTGCAGAGCGCGAGGACAAATCATTTACCTAACAGATTGTAGTCCTATATCAAACTCATTGTATTATATAGATCAGTTATTTTTTATTTATGTTTATTTATTTCAGTTGCCAGCTGTTAAGTATGGCAGGGATTGGACGGCCATCTTGTGTGAGTCATTATGTTTCATTCATGGTTACTTAGTAGCCAAGGAGTTTCACGCAATGTTCCCATCAGGCATGTAAGATCTTTTTGCACATGTATAGTCGCCTCCCAGAATCCATGCAATGTGCATATTCCCCCGTCAGCAGCTCACTCACGCCCATAGTGCATAGTGAGGAAATAAAGGCGCGGCTGTGAAAGAACGATTTAATTCAACACGTAAGACATGGAGGTCACACCCTCCACTGGTTTTGGAAACAAGTCAAATGTGGACTTTGGATTTTTATTAGATTCACACGGTAAAATGATACAGTAATCCTACAACAGCCTCTAGGCCTATATTGTGTTTAATCACAAAGCCATATGATTTTTAGGCTTCTGCGTTTTAAAAATGTTTTTCCTCTTTACTCAAAGCAATTCGGTCAACATGGAAACATTCCTAACCAACAGATATGGTGTAAAATGTTAGTAATATTAGTAACATTCACTGAATGTTTAGAATATATTGCTGGTATAAGAATAATACAATCAATTGTATAGTCCACACAAACGAATACACTACGTCATGGGCTGTGATGCATTATTATAAACCAGTTGCTAGTCCCTGCCACTAAAATTACATGCATCTACCCCATTATGTGTAGCATGGTAGAATGTAGAATTCTAATTGTGGTTGTCGATTATGCAGATGTATTGGTCAAGTATTTTCGCAGTTCTTTGCATCAAAGGGGAATTGCGCAGGTTAAATGAATCACAGGCCGACACTCAGGATTCGGTCACACATGACTTGCACGTTGATACTTTATTGCCTTTTGCCTGTTCGCTTCCAGCAGGAGTCGTCATGGCAAACGTGTGTACAGTGTCTGGCCCAGAGGGTGTTTGGGCAGCCAGCCACCAAACAAAACTTTCCCTTTATTCTCTTCCTGAGGTCTAGTGTCTAGATCTAGGAAGCTTAATAAAGGTGGGGAGATTTAATAACGAGTGGGAAAACATCGCCTCAGCAAACTGTGTCAAGGACCTTGACCTAGAAGACTGGGAAATGTGCACCACACCACCAGCCACCCTCTGGAAAGATTCAGTTGCCAGTACCGGCATGGAATTTGGGTGGATGTTGGGGCTGGACAGTTGTTCAGTTGGGAGTTTCAGCGTTTCACAATCCACCAAAAAACGTGAGGTGCATTTAGTGTCACACAAGTAGCACACTGTACTTGCCTTGAATCTATTTTTCTGCCTCTTAATATAAGCAAATATAGAAGCTGATCTGAATGCATAGGGTGACCGTACTCATTAATGGGTCCTCATTGGATGTTTCCATTTTTTGTTCCATTCCCTGTACATTACATGATTCATTACCTGAATCATCACATTTCTACGAATCATTACATTTCTAGAGTGATATTAAGTCTGAAGGCTTCAGTTCCGCATCAAGTATCCATATAAGCATTGCTGGTGTGAATAGTGTTTGTCTGTTTCTGTCCTCCTGATCCAGTACAGCACCGCAATACAGAAGTTGTGTTTTGAGGTTTTGGAGAACCTTCTGCCGCACTTCCCTAAGCCTTTGGTTTCATGTGATTGCAGGCAGCACCCCTGTGCACACGCCCTGCGCCGGAGGGGGTCGCAGAACCAAGCCCACTGCTTATTTCACACCCCCAGAAAAACCCCCCAGCCGCAAAGACTGGATCCCTGACCATCAGCAGTCCGTCTGCATGGTTTGTCTCCGTGAGAGATTCACCATGGTAAGGCCAAGCCGAGTGGAAAGAGGGATTTTTGTGGATGAGATTTAGAATCTTTTAGAATCTTTATTGCCGCACGACCAAGGCTGCTGAATATTTGTGTCGGCACAGCTTGCTGCGGTCTGAGTCGTCATGGCAATGGACAGCTACCAACTAGGGCATGAACAGATAGAAAATCAATACCAGAAACAAAATACATGCAGAGAAGCGTAAGCTCAGGGTGTGATGAATAAGGCGGTTTGTTCAAATTTAGTGCAATGCTGAAAATTGACCCAGGCACGATAAGGACACCCGGAATTAACTGCAACCTAATCTGATGTACCTCGAGGATGACATCACTATCCCTAACTCTCAGGTCATCTCTCTGACGTTGTAGTTCAACAGAAGGCACCATTGCCGGCGCTGTGGGCGTCTGGTGTGCCAGGCGTGCTCTGGGCACCGCATGCCGCTCGAGGGCTTTGCCGAGGACACGTCGCGGGTCTGCAACCAGTGCTACGGCTTCTTCCACCCCGTGTGAGCGCTCTCGTTGGCATTGCCACTTAGCTGTCAAATGACTGATTGGAAAATGAATCCAGTCATATACATGTCAGTGATATTGTGATACTCTCTGTCTAATTACAGCACCGATGAGGAAATGGAACCAGCAGAAGGTAGAATAACAACTTCTCAGAAATTTATATAGGTCAGAAGTCTTACTGTTTCTCTGTCTTCATAACTGTTTTCTTGTCTCTCTGTAGTAGCTGGCAGTCCTGTGACTAATGAAGAGTGTTTCTATGGGGTCCTTACGCTGCCTGAGGTCTCTCGGCGCCAGTATCGCCTCAGCATGGATCCTGCAGAGAACCTGCAGCTGCAGAGCGAGTTCTACTATGAGCAGGTCGACCCCCCCCCCCCCCCCTTCACGGATACGGGACTCTTGCCCATTAGCTCTGATTTATTGGTTCTTTTTTTTTCCCAGTCAAGCAATATGTATGATACCTGATCATGGCCAGGCGGTCTCTAGCGTACACAAACGATACTCTCAATTGTTCTATGTTGCTACTATTTGTTTAGGGACACCAACGGTAGGCATATGTAAGTGTTCCAAGCATGTTTAAGGAAGGCTATAGGCCTGTTGGAGTTAGGTGTACTTGATTAAATTGCATTTTTGCTTTAAGTTGTTTTTGGAACGCATCCCCATCATAACCCGGGGAGCGTCTGTATTCTTCCAGTAACACACTAGAAACAGTGAACACAGGTGATATAAACCATGAACTAGTGTATTTATGCACAATGGGAATCAGTACCACTGAAGGAAATATGTAGGACTGAAAGCTGTTGTCCTCCTCATTCACGTTACAGGGCCCCAGTTCTTCCCTTTGCATCGCTATCCTCTCTCTGCACAGCGACCATGTGGCCTGTGGCCACCAGTTAATCGATCACTGCCACTCTCTCTCACGGGGCCTGACTAACCCCGAGGTCGATGCCAGACTCCTTACTGACATCATGCGGCAGCTACTCTTCAGCGCCAAGCTCATGTTCGTCAAGGCAGGCCAGAACCAGGACCTTGCACTGTGTGACAGGTAACTGGGAACAGTCTGCTTAACCTCAGGTGATGGCAGAATGTCTGGAAGAATAAATATACATTGTCTTTCTTTACTAAGCACTATGGATTAGTCATGGGGAGAAATGACACCTTGTTTTCTGTCTATAAGCTTTAATCTTGCTCATGACTCATTTGCTTGTCCTCCAGTTATATAAGCAAAGTGGATGTACTGAAGATTCTGGTAGTGGCGAACTACAAGTACGTTCCTTCTCTGGACGATATTTCGGAATCCGCTGCCATAACGAGGCTTCGCAACCAGCTACTGGAGGCAGAATACTATCAACTGGCTGTAGAGGTGAGGGGAAAAAATGGCGAGAAAATAGGGGCTTCAGACCCTCCGTTTAACGTAGAATACCCTCCTTAAAATTACTAAGAAATGTGTGCAGTGGGGGTGTGGTTTGAGGTGTCCAAAGTTAGCCTGTGACTGGAACAAATGGAATTAGCTAGCAGATGTGTGCATCTTCTCACTTTTATGCGTAGGTGTCCACTAAAAGTGCCCTGGACCCCGGCGGGGTGTGGCATGCTTGGGGTATAGCTTCTCTGAAGGCCGGCAGTCTTACGATCGCACGGGAGAAATTTGCTCGCTGTCTGAAGGCTCCAGTTGACCGTAACCAGCTCAACCATGGTCCGCGACTGCTGCGGGAGATAATTCAGCACCTGGAGTCTACAGTCTGGTCCTCACATACTCAGGTAGCATTGTGATCCTTTATTATTATTATTATTATTTATTGTCTTCCAAAAATTTTGCAGGTATGGTTTTTGAACTTCACGATTAGTGGTAGATGTCATAGTTGTTGTGTGTAAACATGTCTGCATAGGGGTTCGCAGTGCCCTGCTTCCACTGTGGCGTGTCCTGATAGTGGTATGTTTGTCAGCATGCTGAGCAGGACATCTTGGCGTCCCTGAGGGAGCTGGAGGAGACTCTGGCTGATCCCGGCTCGCAAGACAACTCCAACGGGCAGGGCCAGCAAAACTGTTACTACGAGGAGTGTCTCTATTACCTGCATCATTACGGCACTCACCTGGCAATAGTTAGCTTTTACATGCGACATGATGACATGAAGGGGGCGCTGTTGCATCTACGCAGCAAGGTAAATCTGAGTATACTCTAAGTGTGGTTCTTGGGGACAGTGAATTGTCTGAGTGGGAGCAAAAACATGGACTGCCTGTGGGTCCCAGTGGACTGGATTGGGAAACACTGCAGTAAGGCACTAATATTAAGGTACTTGTTGAACAATATAACAGTATCTGTGCTTTAGACCTGTACTGTCCAAGGCAGTAGCTGTTGTGAATACATACAGTCGCTGTCAAAGGTCTGAACACACTTGCTTTTAATGCATTTGTGTGTTTTAGCTTTGTTATTCACCTGATAGTAAACGGCTTTGACGCATTGAAGTTATACATACTAAATAGTGCAACGACCAAATCATCTCAAATTTTAGCCCCCCTTAGCTTCGATGACTCTTGGCACTCTTTCAGACAGCTTGCAGATGTAGCCACCTGGAATGCTTCTCCAACATTCCTGAAGGAATTTCCACAAGTTCTAGTCACTAACCGGCTACCTTGCCCTTACTCTTCGATCTAACTCATCCCAAACCAGCTCTATAGGGTTTAGGTCAGGGGATTGTGGGGGCAGCTCATCTGTCGCTGCACTCCATCTTGTTCCCTGCTCACAAGATAATATTTACCACATAACATCAAGGTGTGCTAAGGCCATTATGTTGTTGAAAAACAAATGATTTTCAGAGTCTTAACTGGTACTGTAGGTATGACCTACTAACACGCCAAAACAAAGTACAGCATTGTATTGTATTGTATTGTATTGTTGTTGTTTTTATACTGTTGTGCTGAGAGACACCATCGACCGGAACCAAATTCCTTGTATGTGTTCGCTCACATTCTTGGCCAATAAACGCGATTCTGATTCTGATTAAAATGGAAGTGATGGAATTGGCTCATCCTTTTTTACCTGCTGTCTTGGCATCAAGGAGTGCCCAGAGGAGGTGTTCCTGGAGGGTGTCCTGCAGCCCAGCCTAGAGCAGGGGCGCCTGGGAGCCCTACAGGGTCTCTTGGAGGGACTTGACCCCAGCCTGGAGAACTGGAGCCGCTACCTTATTGCCTCCTGCCAGTTTCTGCAGCGTCGCGGACATTTTCACACCCTCTACCAGCTGCAGCAATTTATGATGGTCAGTTGCATCCCCTTTTCCTGCCCCATTTCCCCCTCTACCTACCCAGTTTGATATTGCCATGGGTCTCCCTTCCGCAGGACCATGTGCGGGCGGCCATGACTTGCATCCGCTTCTTTGCACACGGTGCCAAGTCCTACTTGCAGCTGGGGGAGCAGCAGCGCTGGCTGGTCAGGGCCAAGGAGCACCTGAGGACCTACCTGCAGGAACAGCAGGGCCGCTGCTCCAGCCGCAGGAAGTCCTCCAGCACCTTCCGCAAGAAGATGTCCTCCTCTGATGTGTCCCGGTTAGCAGAACCAACCTTTTTACTTAAACTTGGACCATGATCACAGTTTACGCCTTTGTTTTATTAAAGCAGAGCCCTTTTATCTGTTCTCTATAATGTTCACATGCCCGGGGGTGGGGTGGCCAGCCGATTTTGCAACCGCTGAATTAATCTTTCTCTCCATGATTGGGACATTTTGGTTCCTCTCCTCCCTCATCTTCTGGCATTCGTTCTTTCCCTGTTTTGTGCACCATTTCGTCTGGTGACATATTAATGAGTTGTCAAGTGCCTCAGAGCGGTTGTTGTGAAAGGCGCTACATTAAAAACAACTGAATTCAGTTGAATTGAAATTGAAAATCAGGAATCATGTTGCTAAGGTCATTTCAACAAAAGGTGACTAGCTCATACTTAAAGGAAGACATTCTGTTCTCATACAGTGTGGTATAGAATTTGACAGAAATTAGTCGAATTTAAACAGGCAAATGAACAAGAATAGAATGTTTATAATATTTAGCCTGGAGCAGTTTTATATGGCTGAGTTGCAGAGATGGTATGCATTGTCCACATGCCTTCCTCTATTTACTTCTTCAGGCACATGAACACCATTGAGCTGCAACTGGAGGTCACACGCTTCCTGCACCGCTGTGAGAGCTCCGCCGGCCCTGGCCACGCCCCCCAAGCTCAGCCCCCAGCTAGCAATGCCCCCCCACCCACCCTCTTTGAGGGCAGCTCCATGAAGGTTGATGTGGCCTGCAAGGTGAGGGAACAGAGAACCTGCACTGCTCTTCCTGCAGAACCAGCTGCACGTCTCTTGCGCTGGTGGATTTTAATGCGCATTTCTGTTTGCAGGTAATGCTGGGGGGGAAGAATATTGAAGAAGGATTTGGAATCGCATACAGAGTGATTCAGGTAAAAAAAAAAAAAAACAGTAATAGGCCGTGAATGGATTTATTAACCATCTGAATGCTGAACTCGGGTCAATAAACCCTGTTACTGTATTACTGTCCATTGCATTATAGTTGCATGCTATTTGTTACTATATTGTATATTTTGTACATGGTTCCTCTCTGCTAATCTTGAGATTAGCTCACAAGTGTTTCACTCACCAACACTCTACCCAGCGTCAAGTGATGCGACAAAGTGATTTTATTTTTGCTATTTTATGCTGTTTATGTTGGTTTGCTTGCTTCTCTGCAGCCTCCTTGTTGATCCAAGTTCACTCCTTTTCCTCACCCGTTTCCCTCCTCCTCCGTCTCCGCTCAGGACTTCCAGCTGGAATCCCCGGCGGTGTACGTGCGGACGGGCCAGTGGCTTGTCCGCCAGCGGCAGTACGGGGCAGTGAGGCAGCTTCTGAAGTGTGTAGGGGAGTCAGGGGCTGCCACCAAGAACGACTGTGACAGGATTGTGCTGAGTTGTGTCTCCGCCGCCGACAAAGGGCCTGCCGATGTGAGTTTCTCGCTGTTGTCCACAATTAGGAAGTCGGTGTGGTGGACCTTGGTTTAACATGCAGTTTAATAATAAAGGCTTAGTGTATAATCAATTCTGCCTTGAAACTAGATATGCATACCAGTCAAAAGTCTGGGCACGACTGCTTTTAATGCATGTGTATCTATTTTAGCTATATTATTCAACTTATAGTAGAAGGCCTCAAGGCAATGGAGAAATACGTATCAAATTCTGCAACTAAAAAAAGAAGTATTCAACATTTCAAAATGTTCTTACATTTTTGACTCTTCGAAATGGCTTCTTTTGTTCTGATGACAGCCTTGTAGACTCTTGGCATTCTTTCAACCAGCTCCCAAATGTAGCCAACTGGAATGATCTTCCAACAGTCCTGAAGGAACCTCCACAAGTTGTGGGCACAAGCTGGCTACCTCGCCCTTACTCTTCAATCCAACTGATCCCAAACCAGCTCTATAGTGTTTAGGTTGGGGGGGATTTATTGTGAAATAGATAAATCTAAATATAAATGTTCGAAACCTGTTTGTTATTTTATTTTGTTTAGGCCAAAGAGCTAGAGAGTCTGATTTTGGAGTCAAAGAGTGTAGAGAACAAGGTGAGAAATCTTTGTGTTCCTTGAACTATTATCTTTGTCTATGCTGAAGCTTCTTCCGCTTTTAATTCCAAGTTTGTGTGACGTTTCCTTTCTCCAAGATAAACGGCTACCTGCTGTGCAGCAAACTGCGAGCCGCCTACCTGCTGGCGGTAAAGCTGGAGCCCGGCCGCGCCGGCCCCCTAGTGGCGGAAGTAATGCAAGCCGCAGAAAAGACCGGAGACTCCATCATGCAGGACATCTGCCGCCAGTGGCTGGCAGAGCACCAGGACCGGCCCCCGCGGCAGCAGGTGCGCAGCAACGCCAGATGACGCATGGAAAAATGCGGCGATGTGGAATGCGCAGAGCCAGTGGAGGTTATTGCTGCTGCCGCAATATGATTAAAGGTCGTTTGACTGTTAGACTGTCGTGCATCATCCTCACATGGAGGCTGAGATGTCATCACAAATTTTTTGTCAGAGGAGGGAGAAAAGAAATCGATAATAATTCGATATTAAGTACTTAGTTGCAGTTAATTCTTCACTAAAATTATTGTAATTTAGATAAAAATGATCCCTTATGTTTATGAAAAGGGATTATTCCATAAACCTCAGTGTTTATGTAATACATGTGGTATTGTTATATTCAGCATTCTGTGTTTATTTCAAGTTTATGTACAGTAGAAGCTTTTTTTCTGTAAAGGTTCCATTTCTAAGATGTAGTGTTACTGTTCATGTAGGTCTGTTCACTCTGTCTGTCCGTGAGGCTCCCAAATGGCCAGTCATGTCCGCCCTTTGCTTTTTGTAGATACTGGCAGGAACTGTGAGCAGATTTTGGGGAAGTCAGACTGAATTCTAAAAATCTGTGAGAAACTACAAGTGTTTGGATTTAAAAAGGGATGCGGATCATGATTTTGCAAAATGAACATTTTTCTGCCAGTGTTATAAATTTGCATATGCCGTAAAATGAAATTTGCATTCAGCACACCGACGTAATAAATTACAATGTTACAAATTTTTTTGTGACAGAACAGGCAACAAATTTTCACGCCCTTCCTGTTGCCTCTTGCTAATCCCTGTTCTGTGGTTTCTAACCTTAGAACGATCTGCTTGTCTGTAGTGTACTCTCAGCCATCCTATGCACTAGAGAAGCTCTTTTTAAATACTGTAAATGTCACAAAAATATTGGGAAATGCAAGGAATGTTGACACACCTGGTCATTGACAATTGTCACATTGAATCTACGTGCCTATATTGTTCATAATCGGTGAAGTAATTTTAATCCTCAGATGTGTATCTGAACCTTAATCTTCTAAGAAATAAGGTAGCTTACCTTAATGAGATTAATGGGAGTGCCAACTATACACTGAACTTTGAGATACATTTAAAATTCACTGTAACACTGTACTAATGTAAAACTGTAAATGTTGCATTTTCTTGCCTGGTATATCACTGCCGTCAACTTTATATCAGGGTAATTTCTTCATTTTAGTCCTGAATTTGTCCGGTTTTGTCCTTAACGTGATGGCTCTTGTGAAAGGCCCCTCGCTTTCTTAAGGGGTCACTTCTGCAAACTGCATGTTGCCCTAACAGTGCTACAGAACCGGTTCAGTAAGAGACAGTGCTCTTTTCCGTATGGGTCTAGCTCTTTGTACCAAGTTGGCTTCATCAGAAGTGTGCCTTTATTCCAAACACATAATAAAATACTGAAATGTTGCTAAAACAGTTTAATTCCAATGAATACAGACCTGGATTTAATATAGCCGAATAAGAACATTATCAACAGTTTAATCAAAAAATTGCAATTTATATACAAAAAGTTGGCTGTGTAATTTGCTGTAGTTTTATATGCTGCTTGATGGCCAATAAATCACAGGATAAGACAACTCATATGAAAACTAATGGAAAATCTTTTGTGGGTAGGAAACAGATGCACTGTATCATGAAGAACTAACACCAGCATCAAACTATGCAAGTTCATTAATATTTAAAAGCAATATGTTCATTTCTTTGTTCAGCTTAAACAGCTTCCCCTCTAAATATGACAACAAAAGCAGCAAAAGAAATGCTTAACACAAAATGCACCTGCAGATTTACAAACTGAACGGCCAAGTAAAAAACTGTATAATCCAACACAAGTAACTTAATCACTAAATCAGCATTAATTAAGACAATGGATAAAAAATGAATGGTTTAATTAATTTCTCTCTACCCCCCCGCTCACTAGTAAACCACACAGCAGCAGCGTGATAAAAAGCAGAGAAAGCTGGAGTCACAGCAGAAATGGAATGGATCCATCCATCCACCAACTGCTTATCCTGGTCAGGCTCACATGGAGAACGGAGAATGATGGAATATTCCATTGTTAGCTGCAGGCAGGGGTGAGCTTAAACAGTAGTCATTCCCATTCAATGCCCAGCAGCTCACAGCTGACGTCCCACAGCTGGCGGGCTGTCTTGTCACTTCTTCCCTGGGGAGCCACAAACGCAGTGGCGCAGTCGCTGCGTGAATGAAACCAATACATCCGTCACCACGGAGCAAACTTTGGCAAGGAACAACCTGACACTCGACTAAAGGCAAGGAAATTCTAGATAACTTTTCCATAAACAGCTGCCCTAAAGAAATGGCGTCCTCTGCCTTTAAATAAATCAGAGGTGGTGTATTTGAATGAAGGACTTCTGGCGATTTGTCTGAGCTCCTCGTAGAGCTGCCGCAGCGGCGATTCCCCGTCCACCTCCCACCTGAAGTGCTTTCCGCTGACAGGGTACAGCTCCTCGGCCACAGAGCAGTACACGGACGTCTGAGCACCTTCCCGCGGCGTCTTGAGGAGGATGGAGAAAAGTGCAAAGAGCAGGGACATCACAGTCGAATGCCGAACCAGGTCTGAGCACACGGACCCTGGGTGCACTGAGTTCACGGTCACGTCAGAACCTATTGAAGAAATGGAACATTCACCATACCATAGTGATGAAAGCTGGGGGGGGCGGGGGGTCTGCAATCTGAAGTAAAAATACCTTCTGCTGCATTCTTATGCCATATCTTACACTCAGAGGCAACACACACAAACAAGAACATATCAAAGGCACGGATCCAGAACACTCTGGAAGATCTGTATGCTCCTATATTTTATCTAAACCGAGATAAACCTTTTGACTGTTTTCTTACACTGATTTCTTTTGAATCCTCCTAATTTAAGTTACATGGAGATGACCACTGTTTTTTTACTACGTGCTACTTATGCACATTAAATCCCTCCCTAAACATGCACCCCACAGTGAGGATTGCTACGCATTTTTCTTTTTTCATAACCTTATGAGAAACCCCCCCCCCCCTTTCTATCACCAGCATGTACCTGCAAGTCTGCGTGCCAGTTCCCGAACAAACAGCACATTGGCCAGCTTGCTCTGGCAGTAAGCAAGACCACTGTTGTAGCTGCCTAGACTCTGCAGGTCATGGAAGCGGATCCAGCCGAAGACATGAGCCCATGAGGATACGACGACGACGCGAGCTGGGGCGCTGCGCTTTAACAGCCCGATCAGGAGGTACGTCAGCAAGAAATGACCTTCAGATCACAGTAAATACGCTCAGTCAAACAACACAACTCTCAACAACTGCCTTATTGCCTCCTTAAAAAGCATCAAGACTTAGGAATGACATTACTTTAGTTATGGGAATCATTCAAGAGACCATTCAAAGAAAATATCCTCATGACTATGTCATTCTTACCTAGATGATTAACACCTAATTGCATTTCAAAGCCGTCTGTGGTCTTCATATAGGGGCACATCATTACTCCAGCATTATTGACCAAAATATGTAGGTGGTTCACCTCTAAAAAGGACAGAACATAAAGAAACAAAGCTGGTGATCACATCACAAATGTTATAATCAGTCTCTGCATGTGATAGCAAGTTAAGGTTCTACGTATCTTTAGTGGTTAGTCCCTCAATGTAGATGAAAATGCAGATTGCATGTCTATCGTGGGCCATAAATTCCAGGAGGTTTTATCAGTCTATGCTGATATATTTGGACACATTGTTCGTGTTCCTAGAATATGAACAAGGAATCTATGCAGTGTGCGAAATACGGGGGGGCTGGGGGGTGCGACACCCCCGATTAACGCATGAGACCCCCTGAAAGCCTCAAAAGCAAAATTTTAAGGGGATCTCAAGATCGGTATTGTGCAACAATAGGGAGATGGGGACCCCCCCCGAATATTGACGGGTATTTCGCACACTGAATCTATGTTATTTAACAGCACAAAGCATCATAATGAGCATTCGGTTAATTATTTTCTGACTTGCGATTACTGTTGGAATTCCAATAATGAACTAAAAAAAACGTTCACGAATATGCATGTTTTACAAAATGCATCATCAGAGACGGCAAATGATTTTTTTCCATGAATGTCTGTTTGGTATAGAAAAGGTACTCTCACTTCTGTGTTACCTTAAAACATTAGAAAACAGTCATTTTTATGTCAGCTTTTCACAATCTTTGGATATAACAGAAGAAGACAAGATAATGTAGTTTCCTCCACTCCCATTAGCTGTTATATACACGGGTATCAATCACCTTGGTCTCTTCACTCATTCTGTAATGGTACAAGAAGGTCACCGCTTTGCATTGAATACATCCCCAGTGTTTGACAGAGCTACTCGATTATGGCAAAAATCATAATCACAATTATTTTGGTCAGCATTGAGATCATAATTAACAGGATTCCTCATTGACTTCCTTGAACTCTAAATATAATTTAGCTGAGAAACACATAAAAAGGTGTGTACTAGACAATACAAGACAAGACGAAAGCATCATTGCAAAACAAAATGTGGCACAATAATGGTTTTATTTAGATTTCGTTTTGATCATCGTTGGAAGCCAAAATCGTAATTTAAATTAAAATTTGATTAATTGCCCAGCCCTAGTGTTTGAAGCTTTTATCTTAACACACAGGCAATGGAACCACTGTCCACAGTGTCTTGGAACAGATGCTGGAGTACCTTTGAGGAATCTTTGTGCAAATGCTCTAATAGAGCAGGTGTCGGCCAGGTCGAGTTCTCGCACCTCAACCTTTGCCCCCGGCACCTTGGAGCGGATGTCGGCCGCTGCCTCTTCACCTTTCTCCACATCTCGACAAGCCAGCACAACCCGAGCTCCTTGATAAAAAAAAAAAAAAAGATTCCCTCCTTTGCCAAGTTTTCTGTATGAAAACATTCAACGTATTTTCATTCAAACAAATGGCATCCGTCTTAAATAACTCGTATGAAAACAAAGGAAGCAAATCTTTATTAAAAAGACAAAAATAGTTAATACTTTTTTCATTGAATGGGTGTTTTTCCAAATGCAATTTTATAGATAATTAGCATGTAGCGTTTGCCAGGATCCATCTATTCACTGCTATACAGTAGTCTCTCTTAAAAGTCAATTACAATTTCTGCGCAGGCGTTTTAGCCTGTGGGCGCTACCTCGTGCTGCTAAATCCTGTGCCGTCTCCTTGCCAATCCCCGTATTGGCTCCAGTGATCAGTGCTGTCTTCCCATCCAGTCGGACTTGGGACATACATACCCCCCCGGCGGCATATTTTCTGCGGGTGAAAAGCCCACCAAAGCTCAGACTGTATATAACAGTCTCCACAGATGCTTATTTGAGCTCCTGTAGCTGAACATTCTGATAACAATGTGAAGGTTGTGGGTTTGAATCCCAGGGACCACACATAAGTTATAACCTTTCTCTCTACTGTATGTTGCGTTAGATAAAATGTCAGGTTAATGTAGTTAATATATCAAATTTTGATCCATCAATCTTCCATGTTTATCCTGAGCAGGGTTGGAGGTCCCCAGAGCAAAGTCCATACAGCACAGAGTACAAAAGGCAAAAATAAGCTAAAGAGGGATTTCAGCCCTGGAGGATTGGAGCTCACCCATACTTCCAAGGTCAGCTGTTCCACTCCTGTCTCTATTTTGTGTGCGTGGACTTTGAATGTTCTCCCACAGTCCTAAAAAAGCTAGAAGTGGTGTCCCTAAATTGCCCATACAGTATGATTGTGTGTGTGACTGTGAACAAGTGTGTGCCTTGTAATGGACTGGCGTTCCGTCAAGGATCTGCTGCAACCTTATGCGCCATGCTGTCTGAGACCCTGAATGTATAAAAGTATCACTATTCTATTCCCCTACAACTTAAAATCCCCTAGATGCCCCAGTTAATCAAACATAACCAACCAACAAAAATACATAAAGCCATGTCTTTCTATGTAACGATCCAAGGCAGCCTACTAAACTGGGGCATCAAATACATTCAATTCATAAATATCCAGGCCACCAATGTATAAACGAACAGGGAAAACATAACATCTAGCATCACTTCTGAAGTAGTGGATCGGGTTACGCAATTATCATATATAATGTACTGAACCCTGATACCAACGGGTTCTGTCTCCGATCCATATTTATTACAACTATGAGATGCTGACGAGGGAAGGAAGAGTTCAGCGAATTATAGCCACCTGCATGTAATACCGTCTTAATATTCATGTAATTTCGATCACTCGCCGAAATAACATTTCAATAACAGGACAAACCTTTGTTATATATTATATGCTTATGATGTTGGAACATTTCTCAGTCGGGTCATATTACGCAAAAACTGACATAACCAATCAAATAGCGACATATGCTGTAACTCCGCCCACTTGCAAATCGTTCAGTAGGTGGAAAAATGAAAAGGCAGCTTTTGAATGGTGGCCGTCCATAAATGAATTATTTCACAAGTATAAAAGCAACACAATTATCTGAAAAACCATAACCTACAAATGCTTCAAATAATTAAACAAAAATCTTTGTGTGTATGTCACCGTACAGGCATTACACAGTATCTCTGCGGTTATATCAAAAACATTAACGACGTTATAAAACAAGTCTTTGGTTACATAATGCTGTAAAGGGTGTCAAGTTTATGCTTAATCTCAGAGAAATAAAGCAGTAAAACAGGTATTCCGGGAATATCGTAAAGAATATGATTAGCTGCATGCAGTTATTCGATACATTATACATACCTGATGTGAGGAGCAAATAAAACTGATAGCAGAACAACCATTCCCAAACCTGCGGTTAACAGTAATACAAACATTTCCAATAGTTTTTAAAATGCTAAAGAAGGGAGGCTATACAGGTTTGCAGCCTGCCGTACATTTACCAATATCCTCACCGCCGCATGTACTGTCACTCAACTGTGCCTCCTCACGCACAGAACTCTGGGATTGTAGTTTTTCGCTCAATACTGACCCTTGACGCATGTGCCGTGCATCAACATTCATCCAACAAGGCTCACAATTTCAAATTAGTCTTAACTCCGCAGTTGTGCTGGAGATTACGCATGTAATTTGTGAATTGAAATAGTCAATTTCACAAAACTTGCTAAGTTTTTTGAGTGTTGCCGCCTTTGCTTTGCTGAAGAAACAAGATATGATCTGGTTATATTTCATATTGTTTGCATATTGCTTCTAGAAGAACGTGTCATTGCCTATCACTACTACCATTAATTAATGCAAGTTCTCTGCCTGATTTCCTCAATGGATGGTGGACAGGTGGACTTTCTCCTGGCAGCCAACAATGGTTTACCATTTTAGGCCTGCCGCGGATATTAGTGTTGATTACAACAATCCGTGCAAAACTTACTATTCTATTCAATGTTCAGTATTATCATTATCCCTCCAGCAGTTCCAGATCTGCTTCGGGCCTCCCTCCAATGGGACAAGCCCAAAACAGAATGGGGACATAAGATAATACTCATGGTTTAATCTAAGACTTAACCCCTACTTTAGCACCATGGATGTTCGCAGTGCCTGTCATTCTCATCTACCCTCTTACTAGCAATCGTGAACAAGAAAATAAAATAGCACACTCAAGGAAATTAACGTTGCTGATTAGTTACATCTATTTTTAGACAACAATACTTCTTTCTAGAAAATTAATTTCAGTAAGAACTGGTAGTATATCAAGGTCATAAATAGATGATATGGCTATTCACACGTAAAGTGCTCTGTCAAAAATAGATCTGGTTATCAGTGGCAGAGAGGCTTGGAGGTTATGTTGGAAACAACCTAAGATTCTGATTTACAAACGAAAAACAAAAGAAAGATTATTTCATAGTCTGAGAAAAGTGACTTGACATATTTACATGTTAAATGACAGAGTCAAGACAACTATAATATCGCTAAAGTAAAAATTAGTCATCTAATAACAAAACTCCATAATTTAAATTACTATACAATAATTTCAAGAAATTACATAAAAATCACCACTGGCCCAAAGTGCAAAAATCTTATTACTGCAGGGACCCAAATGGTACCATGTGCTACTTGCTGGAGAATTTTAGGCTCCAATGACCAAACAGGCTAATCCTGGTTGGAAAAAAAAAGTTTAAAAGGAGTACACTGTTTACCCATGTGACTATTTCCTAACTGTCTGATGCACTGTAATGTCTAAGTGATGGACCAAGGTTAAGGTTTAATCAAGACGTTGGAAAAATAAGTTTGTTTTGACTTTAGTTCAGCCAGGTGCATGAACAGGTTTTTCCTTGTGGGAGGTATCTGGAATGCAGAAGTGGTGAGATATGACAAGTCCTCAGTCTCTGTAAGCTACAGCTAAAGCTTTAGGTTTAGAGACACAACTTTTCTGTGTCCACCTTAGGGGACGGTATTTCCTGAAAGGCCATGTGCGTGCCTTCTCGTGTCTGCCCCAGAGACGATGCAATGACATCCACTGCCAGTCCTGCAGTCGCTTTCACTGCCTCACGGTTTGCCCCCAAAACAGGATTCACCTCCACCACATCCATGGCAGACAACAGTCCTGTACAAAACATCAAATCAGGACATGTGTGTCAAATCAGGACTTGTGGGTTTACGGTCAGCATTAAACACAATAACAAAAAAGGTGAGAATCATGATTATTGCACTACATCCATAAAGTATCACTGCACAATATCTGAAAATTTCCATGTCATCATTTAGAATGCATTGCTAGCTTGCTTTCTTTCATTCTTTCTTTGTTTTCCTTTTCCCTGATTCTTCTTTCTTGTATTATTCTTTTATATATGATGCATTACTACATTGCAACACACCCATGTAAAGTGCTTTAGGGCAACTGTTGTGAATGGCGCTATCGAAAAATAAACTGAACTGAATTTTCATTACCTGTGTTATGAATCTCTTCTGTAATGTAGATACCTTCCCTATAGGTCAATCCTCCGTTTACAGGTGTCCCAGTGGCAGGGGCCAGAGATGGATCAAAGGCATCAATATCAAAACTTAGGTGAATTGGCTTTTGTTTCCTTTTGAGGGAAGACAAAACACAAGTTGCATTTGATATCTGGAAAGGTTAAAAATCATTTCTGCACTTTTCAATTTATCATTCTCTCACAGATGGTATGCATATCATCGTACTTGTCATATCATGAATATGATAGTTGTTCAGATAAAATATTTTAGTTGTACATTTGGATTTTTCATGTGCCAACTCGTTTTCCTATGTAACACACACGTACACGTGTGAGCAAAGCTTGGCTGATTCTGTGCTCTGACATCCATTTATGTGGGATCTAGACTTAAGGACTAAGCTGAGGGACCCTGACAATGATATGATTATTAAGATTCAAACCGTCAGCCCTTCAGACAAAAGCACAAACTGCTAACCAATAGTGCCTTACATCACTACAAGTTCAGATACTTTTCAGCTTTTAAGGAACAACACATTTTCTGACTATTATTCTTTAAACAATATGTGAAGACAGCTTGACACAGACAGAATAAGTTTGTCTGGCAATATGATGAAAAATGCAATATGCTATATTTAAAAAGACGGATCACATCCTACCTGGCCAACAGATGATCAAGAGTGACCTCCATGACCCTGTGTATTCCCATCCTGTCAATGTCTCGCATGGTGAAGCACTGGATTCCCAAGTTCTTCAAAATGTAACTAGGATAGACAAATTCAAAAATCATTTACACATACAACTATTCATTGATTAACTTCCAGTAATATTCTACACAAATTCTCTGTTCAATCAAACCAGTTCCATCCCATAGGCTTACGTGCCCAATAATCCTTTTCTCTCCCCACTCCTGACTCCAGTATCTCTCCCCCCCCCCCTTTAAGAATAGCAGGTGTTTGCCCCCCCCCCCACTTCTGCAATTTCCCAACTACCCCGATCATCCATGTTGTACATACTATTCCCCGGGGTCCACATCCCGCAGGCCAATGTACACCAGGTCTGTAGAGGAGAGGAAGGGTTTCATCCAGGAGAAACCAGGAATTTCAGGCATCTAAAACAGAAGGGAGACCAATGCACACTATAAAACAACCCTAGTATTTTCCCTATAAATGCATATAAATATGCATTCTGCAACTGACAGTAGGATGGGAGTATTTGAGTGATTTGATAGCAGCAATTTTAATACGGCTCAGTTTGCTTACCTTGCCCCGAAGCTCTTTAAGAAGGAAGGCAACAGACTGGCCATGGAGGTTGCCGGAGGGCGACGTAAGTGGCGTGTTGATGTCAGCATGAGCATCTACCCAGATCAGGCAGAGGTCTGGGCACTGCTGGGCATGACCTTCAACTGAGCCAATGGCCAAACTAGGGTATGGAAAGGGATGTCATTAGTCAAATTATAAATAGACAAATAAGACAAGTATTAATTTTCTAGGTTATATTCTATGGTCCATTGAACTAGACATCACTGATCTGCCCATTGGTCTACACGGATCTTTCATTTTGATTCTGAACGGCACAAACGTCTCCTTTGTGGACCTGTTTTGCTGATTGCTCACCTGTGATCACCCCCAAGCATGATGCAGGTGTGCCCAGCACCCACAGCCCGACTAACTGCCGAGGACAGTAGCTGATTGGCACGGCCAACGGTGCGGGGGAATGGAACGTGCATGAAGGGCTCATCTTTATCCAGATGTTGAAAGTTCAGATCTCCATAGTCATGTACAGGATACTCTGCAAATGAAGCAAAATAAAGCAATACCACTACATTAATGTGGGCATCCCATATGCTGGAGGTTAAATATTTAAACTATTTGTGTATTCCTCCATATTTTGACACACTTGGGCGGCACTTCATGTTCTGCATTTTCCAAGCAGAGACCAACTCAGGATTCATTTAGAAATCAATGCACACAATCCAAGATATGGCATGAGGTAAACAAGAAATCAGATACATCGTTACGAGCTTAAAATGAGTAATGCACAAGGTAGCAGTTACGATTTGTGGAATGCAATGAGACACCACCTCACAATTCAGTAAAACACCATAGAGTCTATCCTGCAGGTTATAGCTTACAAAAAAATGGTGTACTCTTACTATTAAAATTGTTTTAAAAGTTGCATCACGTAAAGTGCATTTTAAATCAACATCTTTGTTTTACATTGACTTCTACAGTTATAAATAGCATATACTGCAAACAACATGCAACAAAATAAGGTCGCAATGACACAGAGCCTATTCTGAGTACATATGAGCGCAGGAAGTGTACACCAACACACACAGAGGAAACCTGGTCAACACACAAGCTCTCATTTAGAGAATCGGCATGCAATTATAAAGGTATAGGTAACAAAAGGGAAATTGTGAATGTTTGTAACACTAAAAGGAACCAAGTTATCAGAGTGGTGATGTCCCTTCTCCAGTATTACACACTTACAGAACAGTTTAGAAGATTCAGTTTTTTCCTTTTAAAGTTATGACAGCAGGCAGTAGATATAGATAGTGTGTCCTTATGTTTATGCGTATACACTTATTGTGAGGTGACAACGGCTTAGGTGACTGAGTGGCTTATCTGAGTAAAACACAGAACAACCTACATTTTAAATGAGGAATACATGTGTTTAGTTTATGGACATTTGCGAATAAGACTAGTAGCTAAACCACTCAAGGTTCCCGGATGTCTTCAGAGTTCTTTCAGCCCACCCGTAAGATGCGGCTAAATGCGGATTTGTAAAGAGCGTAGTAAAGAATGCCCATGCCGATTGCATCATTTCCTGTGAAAAAAGTGTCTGAACACACCTAATTTTACGCCAATTTTGACCAACGTCTGAATACACACGTGAGCGTGGCGAACAACATGTATAAGTATCGGGGGTTGCGTCGATCTAGATTATAAAAAACCTGTCAGTACCCCAGCCAGCGTCGGAAAATTCAGTCTATACATAGGGCTCTCATCTTACAAGCGTTGACCTGGTTACATAACGTGTGAATGGCTAAGCGTTTTGGCTCCCCAATGTTTGTCTGCCTCGCTGAGTGTTAGCGGAAGAATCTCGTCTTGTATTACTTGCAATGACATTCCCGATCTCAGTTGACAATGTGCAACCAATACGCTGGACTGAAGTTTCCATTTCAGAAAAATGTTCCATGTTCATTAAAACGAGTACGAGTACCGATTTAAATGTTAGGCTACTTACAGCGTGACAAGCTGGTACTGACATCAGTTGTGACGCAAGTATAACAAGTCTATTATTAATAGCCTAGTATTATTTAAACATAGTAATAAAAAGTGGTGCATTGATGCATCTTTACAACCACCATAACATCGTTTTATTTCGGGGCGTCGTATTTAAAAAGACTTCGCCAAAAAGACTTTTCAGCTTATATAAAATAATTGATCCATAGCTTCCCGAATAACTTTAAGCGCATCTGCCTGGGCTCCGCCGCCAGTTGTTTCCTTCCGTCACGTTCAGTTCAGCGGGATACTGCGTGTCCTGGCCTACGCCCATTGCGTCAAAATACAAAGCTTTTAATGTAAATTTCATATATTATCACTGCGTTCCGTGTTAATAAACACTTCAATATTATCGTTTTTGAAACAATCTGAAATCAAGCAGAAAATCGAGCGCAATATACTTGTTCCAACTTATCAATACTAAGTACAATTTATTTTAAAATTTCAAAATGTTTATCTGCGTGTCCTAGCCGGTTTCAATTTATAGGCTGGGAGAAACGACCTTTTTTAAATTTTATATTATGAAATATTGTCTGAAATACAACAACTGATTGACGTACCCCTACTGACAAATCCGTGAAAGCATGCTCCATCTTCAACATGCTTCAAAAAGTTGTAAAAAAACACATTTACGTGTTAATAAAAAAGGAACATATAAGTGTGTATATGCAGTTATTTCCTCACCTAAACTGGATAGCCTCTCAACCAAACCCGCATCCCTGATCGCCTTTGGTCCATGCTCTACTCCTCTTCTTTTCTGAAACAAAAAAAAAACACTCGTTACATTTCCGTGTATTCCGGCTCCCAAAAAGCCGCAGGATTCAATTAATGGGCGGCTGGTTAAATTCACGCTAATATCACTGCACTTTAATCTCCATCACCTGTCCTTTAGAGAATGGCGCCCCTAAAATAGCCACAGAATGTGTCCGGACGTGCTGGCGCGCGGCGCCGCGGAGATGCGTCCTGAACACACGAAGCAGCGACCCGCTCAGAGCCATTTCATTTGTCTTTTTTGTCCCCAAATGTTAAATATTTCCTCAAACAAGAGCTGAGACTTAGATGCTAAATTTCCAAGTGGATATTTTATAACAAATAAATAAATAAATAGATAGATAGATAAATAAAATCGTCGGCTAACGCTTCCTTACACTCTCGCTCTCACCGATTCTGCAAGTGCGGAGGGAATTTACGTCTTAAACCTCCAACCTAATTCATATTCATGAGACGGCGTCTGGTAGCAGCACTGCCGGTTCAAAACGTGCACATTTGTACAACATACAGCAAAAAGGAAGTTTAGCTGTTACTGCAAAAACAGAACTGTTATAGCTATCAGACCAAAGATAGTTATAGATAAACTTCAAAGTACTAGTTTTTAAATAAAATTGCAATAATCGAAGAAACGCCTACCTGCGTCTGATTCGGTGACACACCTTCTTACGAACCAATGGGAGAGCTTAAGCCGGTGGGCTTGTTTGGGGGCGTGTTAGACCCTCGTGCCGCGTCATGGTGACCATTGCTGTTTATCCTTGGCGGAAATTTCCACACGGGCTAAAATAAAACCGGGGACTGTCACAACGCGTTTTTGGACAGCTCCATTTATATCAGAAGCTAACAAACACAGTATTGGTGAATGGCCAGAAAACACACCACGAAACGCTTTATATTAAGTTTACGTTTTTGTCAGATATGTTCCGGTGTTCTGATTGAAATCATTATAGATGCCCGTGCCAGTATAACCAATAAGTCAAGTTAATATTGCTGTTTAGGAAGAATTATTTAACCCAGTAAAAACTACCATATTGGAAGTATTTAAACAACAAATTTGATTCGACTAGCTAAATGGATTCGACTAGCTAAACGGTATTTCCGCCCAATGCTAATTTCGAACTTCTTGCAAAAAGTTCCATGTAGCTATACAGTATCTCTATTTTGCATTGCTACAAACCCAAGAAAAACTTGTTTGGATGGGTTTTTTATTAATAATAAAGAATGAGATATGCTAGGTAAAATAAATTGGCCATTCGGCTTTTCCGCGTTTGACAGTGAATAAACAAATATCGGAAGTCGATCCTGCCAGGTTGTTCCGAAACGCCCTGCGTTATTTTTATTCCTCCAGGCAGTATTTACACGCCTAAGATGATACGAATCTCAAATCAACCGAGGCGTCGGCACGCGGAAGTAAGACCATTTCATTTTGTTGCACAGGTCCGTTCGGGAGCTCCGTGCACAGTCACATTCTCCGCTTTCCCTGTTATTTTATAGTCGCCCCAAAGTGTGTGTGTTGTGACACGCGTGTATGGCAACCATTTATTATTTTATTACATTATTTATGGAAATGTCAAATGAAACGGGGAAAACGATAAGACAATAAGAAACATTGAAGACAACGGAGGAGAGGAATCAATAACTTCCAACCCCCGAACTCACATTCATAAAAAATAAGACTGCCATATCTTACCGCCTGGTGCAAGGATCATGTAGTGGTCACTAGGTGGCCGACCTGGGTTGATCATCTTTAACATACCCAGTCAATGATACTGAATATTTAATAACGAAAGGTATGCCTAAATGTAACTTATATATGACATAAAGTCCATCCATCTTCCATCCATTTAGCCAGATTAAAGTGAACCCCTTCCCATGATGTATAGTAGACAAGGCTGGGGTACACTGTGGAACTGTGCACAGGATACCAGTCCATCACAGGGCAATTAAAAGATGGTAATTATCTTACCTTCATGCCTTTGTACTACAGAAGTGAACTGGAATGAACAGGGAGAAACCACACTGCATAACCTCAGGGAGGATATGCAAATTCCACACACTCCTCTATGCGTGACGAAGCATTGGAACCCAATGAGCCATCACGCCATTCATTAAGGAACATGTAATATGTTGTTTTTGACCATGTCATTTCAGAAAAAGTGTGTGTGTGTGTGTGTGTGTGTGGGGGGGACACACCTTAATTTTGTCTTTTAAAGAAGACACAGATAACATTATATGCTTCTACAACCTAGAAACAAGTTGACCTTCTGATTACAGGCACACAGGCTTAGCCCACTGAGCCACACACTGCTTAAATTCATGTTAAATATTGCATACATGACTTAAATGCATGTTGAATGGGACATGTTACTGTTCCTCCGATACTTAGTCTATGTCTTATTAACTTGGCCATCTATATTATGCACATCTTTCTTTATTCCTTTTCTGTTCATTCTTTATTTTTTCCATATGTACAGTTTAAATAGTCAAATACATGAACTGCTCTGTACATGATGTCTGCCCTCAAAAATACTGCATAGTCCTTTATAATATTTAAACAATAAACTATACATTTGTTTGTCCTACAAATTTTTAAAAGAAGAAAGTGGTATCACAACAAAGGATTTTCTACTTAATAATTCAACGAATAACAATAAATTAACATTTAGGGGGTTCCAGTATCTTACACCATCAAACCAGATGTTATTACTTAATCAATGGCATTTAACAATTTTGATCTAATCAAATGTTTGTGCCGAAAACGTTATGAACTTCAGAAGCACCTTTAAAATCCCAAATGAAACCAACATAGTGACAGAACAAATTACAAGAATATGGGTAAAAAGCCGTATACTTGTATGCATCTTCTTCTGATACTGTCCTACAAAAAGCTTTTCAAATTTTGTATAATTTCAGTGTAGCATTTTTAAAGCACAATCAGCAATGAAAGCACATTTTGACACATTTTTACTACATTTTTATTATAGTTGATGTATTCGTACAAACAAGACGTAACATCTTGCGTCAGACTTAAGCAATAATTTGTCAATGGTTAATTCTCCGATGAAATAGAATATCGGCAGTAAGAACAGATTTCTATAGCAGCACCCAGTTAATTTTATTACGTAGTTACGTTAGCATAAAATTATTTTTAAATGTATAAACAGAGCATCGCACATGGAAACGAGAAATAGGCTATAAGGTTTTCTAAAGAAATTAGAACAACGAATGGAAAAGTAGCCAGAAGGACAGATACAGCCACAAATGAGACAACACTACAAACAATCGGAAAGAAAGAAAGCGGACTTAACATACCACCAGGGATGCTTTAGATGCAGCTGAGACACGTGACATTTAATACAGTATTTTGAAATACGGTATTACTCTTTGTTACCCCCAAGTGGCAGGATAGTGGTAGTGTGCGTGGACCTCCAAGCATGCTTTTGCATCCCATATTGCAATGCGGCACAAACGGCGGAAAGCTCTCTGAAATGCATGTCTATAGTGTTGTATAGAAGGTTGTCCTAAGCTGTAGGTGTCGGAAAGACTGCGAGTGAAGCTAACGTCGTGGGTAATTGTCATCGTAATCCCCGATAAACCAAGGTCTCTTTGTGTTGTATTCTAGCCGCCTGTCTTGGGGTAAGTCATAGTTTGAGTAAAGTGAAAATCTTGTAGTACTAAGTGCGTAAGATATTTACAATAAAGATGGTTAAGTTTGATCGGTATCCAGAAGTACTATCCGTCGAGGACGACAAAACGAAAGCCGCCATTTTTGCTGCGGGTCAAGTTATTGTGATGAGGAGTCGAAAGCAAAGATAATTAATATTGTTTTATTTGTAGATAATAACCGAGTATTGGCGTTTTTAAATAACCATACTTGCAATTTGATTGGATTTTGAAATTGAAGCAAGTCGGTAATTTATATATTATTTAAACTCGACCATATAGTCGCCGGGCTATGTAGCTAGTTAGCTTTGCCATACAGCGGGTTCAGACAGTCATTTCGTTGTGTGGCCGTCTTTAGGTTACGGTTTCTTTAAACGCTTCATTGCACGTGTTTCGCCGGGTAAAATGTCTTAGCGTGTGTGGTTTTCGTTATGCTAACTAACTCGTTAGAACTTGTTTTGCCATTGTGCGGTATTTACCTACCGGGAGTTTTCTTAGGCCTCGCCCGCAAGGTCTGGGTTTAGGTGTCCCAGAGCGGAGTAATTGTCCCCCAGCATGTTTGACGCTGTAGTCGAAATCTAAATTCTGAAGTGTAATGTCTACAAATTATTTTGTAAGAAAGTTTAAACGTTTAAAAATCTAAATGCTACTACATGTTTGATCGTACAGGTGTTCTAGATATTATTTGTTGACTGGAAAATTTGAGAACGTTAAATTTAATTGTCACCTCGGAATCACATATTAGCTAAACAGACCGGTGGTTTGAGTGGTGTGCTGTCAGTACGTTAAATATGTGCATGATTATTGTCTAGTTTGCTCTTCGGGCTTCATTCATGAATTTATAGTAAAATGTATATTGTATGCTAGCAATTTTTGAAGGAACTGTGGAAGAATTGCATGGTTCTTGTTGAGAAGGCTGATCAGTTGTTTAGGTCCTAATCAACCATTTATCTGTTGCAGGTCGGTAACAGCGAAGATGTCCTACCCACCTCACCTCAATCGACAACAGATTGGGATACCCCAACTGCCCCCTGGGATCCCTCCTCCGCAGTTCGCGGGGTTTCCTCCAGCAGTGCCACCAGGTAGGTGAAAAATACAATTTAACAGGTTAGATACTCTTCTAATATTATTAGGTCTAATCTGTTTCATACATGTTTACATATATCAAGTTGGCTCCCAACGGAACTATTCTGGGCATGTCTTACTGGGCGGAAGCCCGGAGATGACCCAGGATATGCTGGAGAGATTATATCTCTCAGCTGGCATGGGAACACCTTGGGGTCACCCAGTAGAAGCTAGACTCTGGAGCCATGGGAAAAGATGTCTGACCTGTTCGGCATTGTGCCACATCAACCCTCTCCAGAAAAAACTGCGTGAAGATGAGATGTACATAAACCTTATCCATGCTTCAAAATAATGGCTTTTAGAAAATTCCTCTTTTTGAGTTTACTTTGGACCCCTTGTGCTCATTTTGATGTAAAATGAGCTGATGCGTTTGTGTGAAGTTTAGTTATGCATATACAAAAGTAGTAATATGCTTGACGTACCTTGGTCATTAAAGTGCAGTTCATTTAGTCATTTCTCTCTTTCAGGAACACCCATGATACCTGTTCACATGGGCCTTATGACTCCAGCCCCCACAGTAAATAACTGCAGTTTCTTTTTCAACCGTATTGCATTTGCTTGTGGTTTTAATCTTGGAATTAATGTGAATTTGTAATGAGGCCTGCAGTAGACTTTGAATATAAATATATATTTTGTTTTGTGGGGAACATTTTGGAATGTTAGATGGTTGCTATACATAGGATTTCTGTTGTGTGTTTAAGTCATTTAATCGAAAAGCGCTTTTTACGACAGGTGCTAGTACCCACCACGATGTCAATGGTAGGGAAGCCCATGGGCCCCCGTAAGGAGAACACTGGAACACGGGCCAAGGAGACTGAGGAGAGTGGGGGTCCCACTACCACAGTGTTTGTGGGGAACATCTCGGAAAAGGCTTCGGACATGCTGATCAGACAACTGCTAGCAGTGAGTGCAGTCTGTTTGTACCGTTTTGGTTTGTTTTTCTGATCCTGAAGGGATTTTTATGTTACATTAATATACCAATGCTTAAAAACAGTTCTAAGTTTGAGTAATGTTAATTCTTGTTAGTGATGCATGTTTTTGTAACTTTTAGGTTTGGCACTATAATGCCAGTATTATATATAATTATAAAAATTCTGTTCAATTTACAGGTGCAGTAGCTTACTGTAAAAATGGTGTATTTTGTGTAGGATTTTTAAAGCACAATCTGCAATGAAATGACGGTATAAGACAGTAATGACTTAAATGCCCTTTTAAGTGTGTATTTGCTTTTCGCACTGTTCCCCCTAGAATGCATTATTCAGTGTAAAAGTTCCTGGAGGATTCACTTTTGGTGATATCTTGGCACATTTCAGCTCTATGTCATGAGTATGTTTCTGCTTTCATTAGTTGCCATGATATATATTTTTATTCTCTGGTTGTACAGAGCAGCTCAGGTCTAGTGGTTTAAATGTCTTCATTTGGCCACCAGATTAATAGGTATTTAACCACTCCTCTTACATTTTCTTAAAGGTAGGAGTTGGTATCTAATGCACATGGTAGAGGATAGATCAGCTTCTTACTCTGAGCTGTGTGTGCGGTAATGGAATCCTTCTATTCACTCGAGAGTCTTCCATTTTTTTGTCCATATTCTCATTTATCTGTGATAGTCAGTGTCTGCTGAGTGCAGAAAAAGTAAAATATTCTGTAAGGTTGACTTTACAAGATAATACCTAGAATAGATGGCTTGTATACACCTGTTCTAAATATGTGTGTCTGTCTGGCCTTTTCATCCCAACAAATATATCCTCCACAAAACGTATTTCTTCTTTGCAGAAATGTGGCTTGGTCTTGAGCTGGAAGAGGGTTCAGGGAGCCTCTGGAAAACTTCAAGGTAAAAATAAAACAGGTACAACACTTCTGAAATATTTTCCCCACCTTCCTCTATATCTTCATATTCAGACCTTTTCATTTGGATCCTTTAATTGGTTTTGGGTTTGCTAATCTGCCAAAGTTGCTGCTCAGTGGAGATTTGCATGCGGGGTCAGTACTTGGCAAAGATAAGTAACAGATCAGGTTCCCCATACTGTGTGTCTTGAGTGGGAGTAAAGCCATGCTATAAAAATGACCTTTTGCTTATTTCGATTTAGATTTCTAGATTTTTTTTTTATTAAGCGATAGTTTCTGCTTTTGCCCAGTTGAGTTGCCTGAAGTTACCTAGCAGTGCCTCTTGTCGCCTCTCTTGTTGCCTTTCTTGTCTAAGCTGTGCAACAGTTTAAAATTTTCTGAATCCCTCTTCTGCCAAACTGTCATCATCCTGGAAATTAATGAGCGAAGTCCTTGGCTGACTGATAATGATAATATGATTGCTTTTCCTTTAAGCGTTTGGATTCTGTGAATATAAAGAACCAGAGTCCACGCTACGTGCACTACGACTTCTACATGAGCTCCAAATAGGTGACAAGAAATTGCTTGTAAAGGTGGATGCAAAGACCAAGGCCCAACTGGATGAATGGAAGGCAAAGAAGAAAAACTCCAATGGGGTATGTATTGTAGTGTATGTATTGTAGTGTATGTATTGTAGTGTATGTACCCTAGTTTTTACCAAGGCTGTCTTCAGAACTGTCATTCATTATTTCCTACTTTATTGTAATGGAACACTGTTGATGCTGCTTTACATCTTCATGTTTCCCTCCAATAGACAGGGAAGCCAGAGGATGGAGAGAAGGAAGACGAAGAGGAAGTTCTGGATGAGGAGATGAAGCGACGGGACCAAATAGTGAAGGGTGCGATCGAGGGCCTGATACGAGAGTACTCCAGCGAGCTCAACGCTCCTTCTCAGGACGCGGACACCCACCACCGCAAGAAACGAAAGGAGAAGAAGGAGGAAGTAAGTCCGCTTCACAAGTGCTTCCCGTTCTCCAGAATGACCTCTATGGGTTTTGTCATCACCACATGACCGAGTTGCTCTCAATTAAGTTCTGCATGGTTTCAGTTGCCCTGAGTATGATCTCACACATTCCAGCAGAAATTGTCCGGCTTGTTCAAAAGCAGCAGTGTTTTCTTTCCTTCAAAATTAATTTCAGCTTTTTATGTTTACTGATTATTAAAACTGATCTTACAAATGCAAGCCCTACATTTCTAAATCTGTTTTGAATTAAGAATCTAGTTACTAGGGCTTAAATTTTGTGACTTTTGGTGATGCTTATCAGGTTACTAATCTAAGACACGCTTCACAAAACTTAAGTACAAAACATTCTACTTAAAATGGGCAGCAAAGGTTTATAGATCCCTGTTGAAGTTTGTGGTTTTTCAATGTATTCGCTGAAATCAAGTGGGGAGTATATGGCAGGTTACTCGCAGCCAGCGGCAGTGTTGCAGTAACTGGCCACTCCTTGTATACGACAATTTTTTGCGTGATGTTCACAAGTTTGTGCTTCGGGCTAGGGCGACAAGAAGCATGATGCTTCTAACACAGAACACCCAAGTAGTGCTGGGCGTTTGTCGTGATTGCATTGTCGATTTGGAATTTCTACACATTGTGTTACAACACAATGTAAAAATCAATTTTACCTGTAGTGCATGTAAAAAAAAAAGCCAGTTAAAGTGCTCGAAACCCACCCCCTATTGTCAGTCGTGGAGGCAACATCTGGCTGCGGGGCTGGCTTTTTTTTTTAGTAAGAATTGTTGGATAGCATAGATGGGGAAAATAAATAGCTTGGAAAAAACAAAAGGTATTGGAATGGAACTTGCTTCCCTGTGTTGGAAAGGTAAGGAGTTTTGCTGTAATAACACAGCCAGAACACCCAAGTAATCACTTAGGTGTCATTACCCAGGAATGGCCCAGTTGGTTTGCAGATGATTGTTCTTGTATAACATCTGTGAACCAACCTAGAATGCCCTCTGTGCAGGAGATATCCTTGCAGTTTGACTGAACTTGAACTGTTGAGTAGGATGGGATAAAACTACAAAATTTCTATCTATCTGAACAGACTTGCTGCTATAATAGATGCGGATGGAGTTTCCACAAAGTGTTAGGTGAAAGGTTTATTTGTCTTGATTTCACCCTTTGAATGAAAAAAAGTTGAAATTTCAGGAAGCCTGGCTGCATTCTCTTCATAGGTGTGACCAGTTACGTCTAAACCTTTCATTAACCTGTAGACTTTTACACACTTTTTTTTCCTTCTCAAGTTTTGCTTATGAGAATTAACCAAGACTTAATATCATTTTGGTTAAATTTAGATTTAAAAAATTAGTTGAACTGAATATTTTTAATATGATTGGTTTCTGTTGCAGGAGGATATTAATGCCATTGAGATGGAGGAAGACAAGAGAGACTTGATTTCCCGAGAGATCAGTAAATTCCGAGATACTCACAAGGTAAAATGCACGCTTGTTTGTGTCTTGTAGTCTGAACTTTGGAATCTGTTCATGTGTAGTTTATGCAGGTTACTGTAATCCCACCATCAGATTTGTGTGACAATTTTCATTTGGATGACAGTTTGCACATCTGCTGAAGCTTAAATTTTACTTGGGGTTGCCAAAAACAATCTCACATTAAATTTCATTTTTGAGGAAGTACCAGAAATGTAACCATTTTTGCCATTGTAATGGATTTGGTAAACACTACTCAGGAAAAATCACATTGTGAGGAAGATGATCACCATTACAAACTCAAGGAGTTTACCCTTACGATTTAATTTCCCAAAAGATGACTCAGCTGTAGAAATGCGTTTCATGTTAATCTATGGGAGACACAGGAAGGTGTGAATAATAAGTTAGGGCTCATTCACCACACAAAATGCATGGACCTAATGTAAAATTCCCTTCAAGCTAATCTATTCATTAAACCCCACCATTATGATAGAGATCATATGGTGACTAAAGCAAGATGAATCTCAGAGCTTTGGAAAAAGTTACATGGATAGGATGTAAGTATGAGCTTTCATTTCCTCTTTACACATCTTGGGCGCCCCCTTCTGGAGGACTTGCAATGGGGGCAACAGGCTCTGAGACGCACTGACAACTTTTCATAATTGCGGTACTGGAATTAACCAGGGCGTTAGTGTGGCATTTGTTCGCAAGAAATGTGTCCCGCCCACCTTAAGAACTTGGACCATGCCAGCGGGACTCGAGGAGCCCAGTGAACCTGTGTGAGTCCTGCTATGTAAATGGCCAGTGTGAAAAACAATTAACCACTGCAGTGATTTTGGCTGCAGCCTATACTGTAGCAGGGGGCGCCCTTCCACAGCACGCTGCGCTCTGAAGACTTGCCAGGTAAGACGTCTGTTCCTGTCCACTTGTGCTCCCCACGTCCCTCCTTCCTTTCGCCTCCTCTAATTCTCATTCCATGCTTAATGTACCATGTTCAGTACTTTTATTTTTATGTTTTGCTCCTCTTATGTCAGTTTTTAGGGTCAGATTGAAGTTTCCCCTCCTGATCTTTATACTGTCCTTAAATATTAATTCAGTAAAAGTTTCAATTCAGTAAAAACCCAGAAGCAGAATGCGTACATGTCAAGCTTGGCTTACAAAGCTTGCTTTGGAGGATTGAGAGGCTAGCTATGCAGCTCAGGCAGTCTAATTGGACAGAAAAGGATTATTTAACCAAATAGTCGAAGCATTCTTTGACTGTGCATCTAGACCAGGGGTCTCCAACTCCGGTCCTGGAGAGCTACCGTCCAGTAAGTTTTCTGTCCTACCTGGCTTCTGATGAGCCACACCTGTTCTCAGGTAAATACCAGGAGCAGGTGTGGCTCATCAGAAGCCAAGTGGGACAGAAAACCTACTGGATAGTAGCTCTCCAGGACCGGAGTTGGAGACCCCTGATCTAGACTAACTTAATAAAACCAGTTTTATTGCTCCTAACTTCCCAAACGCCATATTTTTTATTTTTTATGTTTTTACATGTTAGATAATCTGAATGTTGCATAGATCGACCTCTAGAGCATTTTAATTGTTAGCACATTCATTTGCAGCTGTTGCCTTAGTGGTAAAGTTCTGTCACATCCACACCAGGGCTGGGCGATACTGAAAATAAAATGCAATATCTTAATAAAAAAAACTATCGGGATAAACAATTTTGAGTCATCCAGCACCCCCACAAGAAACCGTGAAAGCAGGGGAAAGTATTTTACAGATAATCCGCTTAACAGCCAGTGTTAAGACTTGCTATCTGGGGTGTTGATTGATTGGCAGGTTGGGTATAATTATGATTTAAAAATGTGGCAGATCATGTAATGCAGTAATTCAGTTATGGTAAGACCTAGCTGCATACCACCATTAAGTTATTTACAATACACTGTTACCTTCCTGTATCATTAAATTTTTTTTGTAAGTTGTAAAGCATAGACTACAAGGTAGACCTAAAAGCCAGTCTTGCTTTGTGTGTAGAGTACGTCTACCTCGCCGACAAATGCAGCGTTCACCGGGTAGTCGCTGTTAGATAACACTGGGTTACTTGTCCGTCGCCGATTACTGATATATCGCCCAGCTCTAATCCGCACTTGCTAGACTTCATTTATTCTTACTGTAGCTGAGGTAAGTTATTTAGAGGATTCAGAGACTGCTAGTTATTTGCTCTCGACTGACCCTCTTAAATGTAGGGTGTTTCCTCCTCCTCCCTGATTTTCCTCCTTTTCTCCTTGTCCTCCCATGTCTTCCCTCCTTCCCAGATGAATTATCTTTCTCTTGGTCTCTCTCTCCTGTCCTATCCTATGTTACTCACTGTGCCTACCGCAGCATGGCACCCATAGTGAACTCCAGGTACGCTTGAGAATTAACCGTTCTTTCCTGTTTTGGGGTCTGTGAAGTTTCATGTAATGGTTAAGTGATTGCTGTGATTAACAAACAGTCTGAAGGCCAGTTGGAGGCCTTGAGTAGTTTATATTGGCCTTTGTGCACGATGGGTGCCATGCTGCCTGGTAGGATAGCTGTCATTGCTTGTTGGTTAGAACAAGCCTTGGGAAAGAATCAGAAGACTACAGATGGGTAAGACGGCTTCTGATTTCATTTCTTTTGCCAAAATTTAAATCCTACAATGCCTCATGATGTATCCATGCTGTGTGTTTTTATTTAGGAGTTCTTTGGGAATGTTTTGTGTGTGTGGATAACTTTTTCGTAAGAATGAATTATTGGTCCTAGGGATCACATACGTTTTTTTTTTTTTCCCCCCGTTTTTTTTTCCCTCCTATTTTATGTCTATGAATCGTTTTACCTGCTTTTCCTCCCAGGCCTAGCTAATAGGCTTGTAGGGGCAGAGAAGCGCTGAATCCATAGCTCAACACCTGTAAGTCACAAACTAGTTTCCACGAGGATCGATCTTTCTGTTGTGAGAGAGTCTCCATCTTATCTGCGTTGAAAAGGAATTCAAATTTAAACTATGCTGATATAAAGGAACGCCCCAGAATTACATTCAATGCTTGTCATTTGGAATGCTGAACAGTTTCCTTTAAATAACGAAGTGGTTTCCAGCATTTGTGTTTGTCTGGCTGCTATGATGGTCTCAGAGAGTGTATCTCATACAGGAAATTTTTTTTGAGCATAACCTCACTGTTGCTGTCCATCTATATGAAGTGGCATTTCTTCATATCCTAAGGATTTTTAACTTTTTTTTTTTCCTTCTGAATGGTTGCGTGCAGATTGTATGTGGTAGGTTCCAGCATGTGTTGGTAACTTTAGACTACTCATAGGTAGGAATTTAATGCACTGGCATTTCATGCCCCAGGTTAAGAAGCCTGGGTCTGTATGCATCGGAAAGTCCTTAATTTGAGCAGCCTGAAGGGTGCCTCAGCACTTCATTATGAAAGGTCCTAAACTATACTCTGAAAAATGGACTTAGACGGTTTTAGTTTGTTCCCAGACCCAAGTCATAAACAATCATGGTAGTTGTCACTATTTGTCTAAGTACGGTTGATTTAGAAGGGTTTTTAACAGCTTATTGTTTCCTTGTTTAAGAGTAACTTAAATACTACTGCAATAGAAAAATTTGGCATTGCATTGGCTAAATATGCCTAGAAGCAAGCTTGTCTTTCCATCTCCCCTTTGCACCAAATAATTAGGTTGGGTACTTGTTCAGTAGTATTTTGACCCTGATAGGGGTGGGTTTGCTGGTCTGGCAGACTATTGGCATTCTTTTGAATAACATCTGACTTGGGTCGTGTCATGCTGTGGAACTCCTTCCCTTCCTCCACATGGCAGCAGAGATGAGTTCTGTGCACCATCTTTGGGCCAGGGACTGTAAACCACTTGACATCTTTGCACTACTGCACGTCTTAGAATTTTTGTGCTGCTTTGTCACTCCGAAGTGTCATCTGGCCTCTTTGTAGTAATATTTCTTCTGTCTTTCCCCCTTTTTTTGTTCTGCCTATGGGTCTGCAGAAACTGGAGGAGGAGAAGGGAAAGAAGGAGAAAGAGCGACAGGAGATTGAGAGGGAGAGGAGGGAGAGAGACAAAGAGAGAGAGCGGGAGAGGGAGCGACGAGACCGCGAGAGGGAAAAGGAGCGGGAGCGGGAGAAAGAAAGGGAGAAGGAGCGGGAGAGGGAGCGGGAGAGAGACCGTGATCGCGAGAGGACGAAGGACAAAGAGAGGGAGCGTGAAAAAGAGCGGGAGAAGGACAGGAGTCGTGACCGCAGTAAAGACCGCAGCAGGTCCAGGTGGGTGCAGGACACGGTGATGGTGAGTGTGAGCCTTGTTTTCCCATACATGACTAAATCCATCTACTCCCACCAACCGCTGCAGAGAGAAAAACAGAGAGGAAAAGAAACGTGACCGTGAAGAAGATGAGGAGGAAGCCTATGAGCGGAGAAAACTCGAGAGGAAGCTGAGAGAAAAGGAGGCCGCCTACCAAGAAGTGAGTGTGCACTGTAAGATCCCACTGGAAAGATTCCAGTGTCCCAAACAGTTACTAATGCCGCCACTTCTGTTGGTTCTCTAAAGCGCCTGAAAAACTGGGAGATCAGAGAGAGGAAGAAGGCTCGGGACTATGCAAAGGAGCTAGAGAGAGAGGAGGAACGTCGTAGAGAAATGGTAACCGTAAATAACCCTTAGCCGTGGTCTTTGTTCTTTTGGATCAAAGATAATTTGCGCTAAACCCTTCATTGGTCCTCAGGCAAAAGAAGCCAAACGGTTGAAAGAGTTCTTGGAGGACTACGATGACGACAGAGATGACCCTAAATACTATCGGTAAGTTTTTAAGGTGCAAACCGGTTGACATGTAAATGGAATTTATATGTGTTATGCACTTATAGACAATGACCTCTTCACTGTATTTAAAATTGTTAGATTAATCTTTAAAAAATACTTGGATTTTATTCTTCATTGCAAGTCTTGCTTTGCAGCAAGTCTTAAAGCAAGGTCGAGAAGCTTAGCACGAAATGGCAAATGTTAATACCTAATACCTACGTTTGCCATTGAGTATGTAGTGCATTCTGGGAAAAAATTACGCGCACATTGGGGCAATGTAAGAAAACGGTGTGAAATGGTGGTACAATTATGGGGCTCTTTGCTGCTACCGTGCTTCAGGGGCAGTGCCCTGCAAAAACGTCTGCGGGACAGAGAGAAGGAGATGGAGGTGGATGATCGGGATAGGAAACGGGAGAAGGAGGAGCTGGAAGAAATCCGACAGAGACTGCTGGCAGAGGGACACCCAGACCCCGATGCGGAGCTCCAGAGGGTAAGTACATATCCAGGCCCACGAATCCTGTCATTCTCAGTGAGCTTCTGCTTGATTTACCCCCCCATATCTTCTCTCCAGATGGAACAGGAGGCCGAGCGCCGTCGACAGCCCCCGGTGAAGCAGGAGCCAGAGTCTGAGGAGGAGGCTGAGGAGGACAAGGTGCAGAAGGAAGAACGGGAGAAGAGGGGAGGTGGTGTAGCAGGACCAGACATTGTGGAGCCCGACCCTCAGTCAGAGGATGAAGTTGAGGAGGGCGAAGAGGAGGATGATGAAGTGCCCGATACCAAACCCTGCCTGAAGCCGACGCTGCGGCCAATCACAGCAGCCCCGTCTGTGTCGTCCGCCAGTGGGAACGCCTCACCCAACACTCCTGGCGATGACTCTCCCTGCGGCATAATCATTCCTCATGAGAATTCTCCCGAGGCCCCGCCCCCTGAGGAGCTCCGTCCAAAAATCGGTCTCAGTCTTAGACTTGGTAAGTCTCAGAGCATTAAAGAATTACCTAACTTTGATTCACGTTTGACTTTTTATTTGTTTGGATTCATTCCGGCACCGAAAATGTCTGGATCCTTCCTGTTCCTAACTAGGTTCAACGAGCAGTCCAAGCCAGCCTAATGCAGTGAAACGCAAGAAGCTCGCAGTGGACAGTGTTTTTAACAAATTTGACGATGAGGAGGCTGATGAGCTGCCAAGAAAGAGGAAGCTTGTGCCATTGGACTATGGTGAGGACGAAAAGGGCGGCTTGGGCCTGGATGGAGCTGAAGTTGCAGGAACCAAGGGCAGCGTCAACACCGAGGAGAAGCGCAAACACATAAAGAGCCTGATTGAGAAGATCCCCACTGCCAAACCTGAACTTTTCTCCTACCCACTGGACTGGGCCATAGTTGACTCGGTGAGATGTTTCGGGAACCGGGGCAGTGGAGTCAGAAGGGTGTTTGATGTGTAGAAAAACGACGACATACCTTTGGGATGACTTCCTGAGTCAGATTGCATTTTGAATGCTCTTACTGTATTTTAGTCTGTCAGGGGAGAATGTGGAAACTAGCCCTTAGTGGTTGTGTGCGGCTCTTATTGCATCAAAGGGAAAAAAAGATCAAGCAACTAGCATAATGAAGGCAGAGATGGTATTTGAAACTGTTTTCAGCTTTAATGCTGATTGTACTAGTTTCCTAATATGGTATTTATTGCATAGGTAAAATACCACTAGTATAAGGAAAAATAAGGTGGAGTTCTTTAATTAAACAGTGTAAACTTTCTCACAGACACTAATGGAGCGACGGATCAGACCTTGGATTAACAAGAAGATTATTGAGTACATTGGGGAAGAGGAGGCCACGCTAGTTGACTTTGTCTGTTCAAAGGTATGTTTCTGTATTTGAATGTACTGCTTAATATGACTGGTTTCATTTTAGATGACTTCTACTATAAATAGTATTCTGTTCTGCATTACACAATAGAGATTTATAAGTAATCCCGAACACTGAAGGAGCTGTATACTCTTCTGTATGGTTTTGCCTGTCCAAGGTTCTGACATGAACTGCATCTAATTCCCCCCCAGGTAATGGCGCACAGCACACCACAAGGAATACTGGATGATGTCGCCATGGTGAGTATCCAGAAAGTTTTGCTTTCCGTTTAGTGGAAGTCGTCTTGACTCTTGGATGAATAACGTCTTGTGTATCACGTGAAAATCACTTATCACCTCCCTCTCTTGCAGGTGTTGGATGAAGAGGCAGAGGTCTTCATAGTAAAAATGTGGAGGTTGTTGATATATGAAACTGAAGCCAAGAAGATTGGACTTGTTAAATAATTTAAGCACTGAATGGACTCCTACGTTTTCTTTCTTATGATTCTTACAAACCATTCTATACCCCAACTTAACCCACGGAAAGGACACTGGGTTTTTTTTTTTTCTTAAGGAAGGTGTAAAAATGGGCATTTCCCTACCACCCACTAGACTTGCACATCTGAGAGAACTGCAGCTCCTCCCTTGTGTGTGAGTGAGATTGCATGTTTGTATATGTTGATGCGTGCACTAATATCAAGGCGCCCATATGGCTAACTGCATGGCCAGATGTTCATTTCCAAAATTGTATTACCCTCTGTTTCAGAATAGATAAGAGGTTGGCACAGTGGGTGAAAGTGAGGTTTCACACGGTTCTCAGTGAAAAATCACTGCTGTACCCTGGTTAATTTTAAATGTGTTTTTTTTTTTTTCCCCCTCCCCCTCTTCCTCCTTATTGAGGGGACACTGCTCTGGGACTGTAAAAGTTACTCTGCTTTTGACCAGCTAACATCTGTGCATATCCATTAGTTTTATGTTTAACCAAGCATTTAAATATCGAGTGATATGCCTACCTGATTTCATAGCTTGACGCTTCCCAGAACATACAATTCCTATTCCGACCCCCCGTTCATGTTCATGTTCTGGAGGTTGCATTGACAGAGGTCACAGCACAAAGAGGATCACAGTGAAATGTCAGAGTTGTTCCTCCTGCAACTTTGTCCCTTTGATTGTCTTGTAGACTTTGGAGAAATTAAAATGATTTTTTTTAAACTAAAAGGAACTGGGTTTTTTTTTTTTTTTTTGTCAGGCATAGTGTCTGAAATGGATCAAGTGCCTGTTCACGTTGGAGAAACTATGAGCATTTGATTTGGGCACTGCCTGAATTGGTTCAAACAAAGGTGTAATGAGAAATTGTAAAAATCTGTGTTTAAAAAAAAAAAAAAAAAAAAAAAAACTTTTAAGGAACCTAAGCAGCCAAATAAAATCAATATCCACATCCAGTCAATCTATTCACTTATTCAGTTCAGCTTTCACATGAATAGACAGCCAGGCCCTGTTTTATGTCTGCAATACCATTCCCCCCTGTACTGAATACTCATGTCTAAGAAATTATACTAAATTCTGCTTTATTTGGTTTATTTTAAAATGTTTAAGTTTGGGGCAGCAGATGGATTTTCATCTGAGTGCCACACAAAGCTGATAGTGGCGTATTGGAGCTTATGTGTTACACCCGTCTGTCTTCCAACTGCTTACCCTGGACGGGGGCATTGGGGCAGCCTGCAGTGTCACGGCCTACAAGGTAGGATACAGCCTGGATGGGATGGCAGGGCACGCAAGTGTGTAAACCCCTACATACGTGATGGGCCTGTAAGTATTAAAAAAAAAATACTTCAATGGGTTTTTAGATAAAACCTAGATCTGGCTTTTTGTCATTTTGTAAATTATAGGCCACTGTGATTCGTACCACTTAATGCAGTCAAGTCTCCTTATTGTAACATTTGGTTAAGTATCAATTTTACAACATCCGACCATCTTGTAATCGCTTATTTTCGGGTGTGTCCCTGGAGCCTGTTCCCAGCGGATTACGTTACTTTGTTGGGAACAGTGTACAGTTGGCAGTGGGATTGAGATATATTAAAAATTCACAGAAATTGTCTATTTACCAATTGATGACAAAAGCACTCAATCCATCTTTACAAACTCTTATGATTGGGAAATGATGTACAAGTATTGGATATTGCTTATTTCAATCAACTGTGAAAATTTGATTTAGTCTTGTGTATGTTTATGGATTTCAAAATGATACCACTGGAAAAAATGGACTTTAGCATATATATACCCTGGATGGGATGCTAATCTTTTGTAGGGCATATGCTCGAGCTCACAACACAAGCGGAGGACAGTTTAGAGACACACATCATCCTAACTCTATGTCTTGGTAGTGTGGGAGGAAAACGATGTAACACACAAACTCCAAACACGCATAGTGGAAGTGGGATTTGAACCCACAACCGTGGAGGAATAACCCACCCCGTCACTCGGCTTTTATACCAGGGTAGCTAACTTCGGTCAGCATGCCATAGTGAGATTTTTTATTCGTCTGCACGCACATTTACATGTATATTACGGTTTTATTACCGTGTAAATTGTAGGATTTGCAAACTTCCCCAATGCTTTTGATATACCTAATTTTAGGTTTATAATGGAATAATATAGATTTGCCGTAATATTTCTTGTGTGAGCGCGAGTCGGAAAGCGTGAGTGTTACGCCAGATGCGTAAGAGTTAGCAACCCTGTTATACGAATAGCAACACAGGATGAAATATGGCGATTCTACTGTCATTCTAGATAAAGATTGTTCAAGTTTAAAAGTTTGATTATGTTCAGAAACGTTGATAAAAAATTATGTCTAATTTAATATATTCCAAAATTACACCACATTTTCTGTTTTTAGCTGTATAACTTGCTCTATTTGCAGATTTTAAAGGGGGGGACCTCTTTCTGCCTGTTATCATATTTGAAATATTATTACGCCCCCGCCGATTTTCCTACTGGCGGAACACGTGGCAGATTCAGCGACTCGGGTCAACCGGATAAGTTCGCTTCAAACCGGAAATAGTCCGCAGCACCGTGGATGTTGATTAGCTGCTCGGCTAAGTGCTTGTACTGAATAACAGCGGCAAACCAAGCACGAATAAAGGTTTTAGCGATCATGTTAAATATTATGCGGTAGTTTTTTTTAACCCTAGAATAGCAACGTCTCAATACACAGAAACAAAGTACTGGCTAATCGCTAATCACGAATACAATATTACCGTAGGTTAGTTTACCTCACAGGCTAGCTAGGTAAACCGTTTTGGGTTTTCGACCGTAATTCATTGTAAAAGAGTGTCAGCTGAAACATTGTCTTTACATTTGCGCGATAGCTGTTCCGTTACAGTCTTAGCGACACCTGTTTTGAATTTTGGCAAATGTACGATACATGCAGCTGGCTGAGTGTTTTGTTCTGGTGATCAGCATCGCTGTTAATATATTCGTACTGCTAGGACCATCATTGACATCTAGGTTTTAGTAACATCGCAGTTGTTCGGGCCACAAGCGGCCGTATATAGCCGAATAATCGACTTCGAGCCGTGGGCTAGAAAACTTGGCAAAATGGACGAATTCGTGTCGATCAGCCTGCTCTCCTTGGCGATGCTGGTGGGATGTTATATCGCCGGGACCATCCCCTTAGCAGTGAACTTTTCTGAGGTGAGTAATTTGTTTAAATTGCTTTTAATGGGGGAACTGAGCGGAATGCGAAACTGCTCAGCGCAAATGTTCGTTTTGCTGGTGGGAAAAAAAACTGGTTCATTTTGCACAGTCAAAGTTCAGGTCACCCATCTTAACATTTAATAGAATTAAATCATATGATTTAGGTATTAAACGCAAATTCGAATCGCTAACCGTTTTAGGGCATATCGAACTTGCCGTTTTAACAATTATATATCCAAGTGAATCTTTCTTTGTAATGTAACAACACTGATGGAATGCAGTGTGTATCATAAAGTTATGGCATATTCATGAATGACTTGTTTATGTTTGGCATTCCTACAGGTTTATTTCAGGGTTTTAATATTTTTCTCAGTTTTATGCATAACGTTTTTTTAAGAACACAGTGGAGATATTCAAAGATTGGTGTCAGTGTCTTTGTGTATGGTCAGTGTTGATCTCCCATTGTCATCCCATTTACTTATTACCAATCCATTTACACTCAGACACTAGTCTCTCTTGTTTTGACTTTTATTTAGACTTTAATGACCCATGTTGCGTGTAATGAAAAAAGATTTTTAAGAGCAAGTCTAAATTTAAATCCCTAGAATTAATTAAAGGTTGGTGCCTTGTTTCATGGTCATAATAGTAATTATATCCTGCTTGTAAATGAAAACGTGTCCACTATTCTACTTCCTGCTAGGAGCGGCTGAAGCTGGTTACAGTGTTGGGGGCAGGGTTGCTATGCGGCACTGCACTTGCAGTTATTATTCCAGAGGGGGTTCATGCACTGTATGAAGAGGTGCTGGAAGGTCTGTATGAGAGACAGTTGCAAGTTTCTTGCACGCCTGTATTTGATCATTTGCATGAGCAAGGCAGGTGTTTACAGTGAGTCTTTCTGTACGAAGCTGGTCACCACACACATGGGCAAGTTGAAGAGGCCGGGGTCTCGGAGCAGAAAGTCGCAGTGGATGGATCTGCAGGCACTGGCGGCAACCAGCTACACAGTCATGAGCAGCTCCACGCCTACATCGGGGTGTCGCTCGTCTTGGGCTTTGTTTTCATGCTCCTCGTCGACCAGCTTGGTAGTTCCCATGTGCACAGCACTGATGGTTGGTTCTGATTTTATTTCCCATCTGCCTTTTTGGTATTTTTCTTCCTCAGACAGTGTACTGCAGTGAGCAGTAGGCATCAAACATATAGGCATTGCTAAATGCCAGTGACATTTTAATTTTCCTTACACTTAATTCTATGCTGTACCCAGCATAATTTTCGCTACTAGCCAACTGGAATAGTTTGGTAATACAATGTAGTCTGACAGGATTTGTTTTACTATCTAGCAGGCTACTGTTCAGCCTTTTGTACTCGCCCTTTGTCTAAATTACTCTCCTTAGGCCAGTGGGTGAGCTTAATATCCAGCCTTGGCTTTTCCACCCTGTTTGCTGGTATTAAATTGCCATTTCCCAGTATCCAACAAATCCTCTTCAAATAGCGGTAAAACACTTAATATCGATAATATCCAACCAAAACCTTGTGTATGCTAGTAGTAAAGTGTCACTTGCTTTGTTATATAAACATGCAGTTATGGTTACCAGCTTTATCGAACTTACCACAACTCATTAATATTAATGTTGTTGTGTCATTTTTTTTTGTTGTGGTGGAATAGCAGAAAATAACATTTTGGCGAGTATTTTTAGTTCTTTAGGTTTCCGTAACACTATAGAAAGTGTTTGTTCATGGTGGGAAATGCCAGTTAACAGAATGTGAACATCATCATAAACTCTTTTTTTTTTTTTTTTTTTTTTTAAAGATCCAGAATCTGGACGGGCTGGTAGCTCAAAAATTACTACAACCTTGGGACTGGTTGTTCATGCTGCAGGTAAACAAAAATCAGGCAGACAAAAGCCCTCGTCTGTTGGGCTTGCATGTGTGGTTTTGTTTCTGCTGGGTTTTTAGTTATAGTCTATTTGATTTTACTTGTAGCTTTTGTTTATTGTGTGTCTTGATATTTACAAATTTGTAATGGTATAATGCTCGTTCTTTTACAAAGAGGTTTCCTTTGACATGTCTTTGGTAGTTGCATAGTGAAAATTTAATAACACATTTTTCTTCCATTATTATACATCTTGAAACTTTTCCTTAAGTTTAAGACTGGTAGCTTGTTAGCTGTTTTATTTCCTTGAGCAGCTTGTGGGTTTTATAGCTGAGCGTTGCTTTGTGCCATGTCTGTCCAGCCGATGGAGTGGCTCTGGGGGCCGCAGCTTCCACGTCTCAGACCAGCGTCCAACTTATTGTTTTTGTGGCCATTATGCTGCATAAGGTACAGAAAAAGAAATTAGCCTATGTGGATTGCTTACGTTTTTAAAATTGAATACTGAATTTTATACATATGCACAGTTAATCATCCTGTGCTTGTTCCATTTATTCACTTATAAATACATTTTTAGCTAAACCTGACAATACAGTCATACTCTGTTGCAGTTAGTCTGTCATTTAACACATCATAGATCAATTGTTGTTGATTTTTTTGCCAATCTGTTAATTTGCATAGGAAAAAAAATCACAAACCTGTTGTGTGTTGAGAGATTCGTACAAGTCATACTGATTTTGCAGTCATGAATACTGGTGAATATGATAAACATGTACCTTCAGGAAAGAGTGGGGCATGGACATGGAATACTGCATTGTGTGTTTGACCACTTTCCATCCCTGCTTGCTGTTCGCCATTGGTCAGGCCCCAGCTGCATTTGGATTAGTGTCCTTCTTGATGCACGCTGGGCTGGAGAGGAATCGGATTCGCAAACACTTGCTGGTATTTGCTTTGGCTGCCCCTGTCCTCTCCATGCTGACGTTTCTCTGCCTCAGCCAGGTAAATATTACATACCTCACGGTCAGTAAATTTGGTACTTTGGTCATTTACCCATCTTGTTCCCGAGTATTAATTCTTGGTTTTAAAAATATTAAAGTTTGTCTGATCTAATTTTGCTTAAAATTAGCATTCTATTGTTGTAATGTATGATTACATACAAAATATATTTATATATGCTAGTTAATTAGCATATAACTGATTAAAATATAGTGTCAAAATATGTCTGTACTGACTAATTTAAAAAAATATGTATTTTATAAGTAGGTATGCTGTAGAATTGTATCAGATTAAGTTTAGCATTTAGGACCTATCTTACTAGCATCTGAAAGTGCATATCTGTAGTTTTGCAAGATTAATGAAAAAAATCCTGAATATTGTAAAGCCCCACCACTAATAATGAGGTGAAAAATAATGGCGCTTTTCCAGTGGCATACAGGACCCGAGCTGTACCCGAGCCGTAATGAGAAGCGGGACTAGTTAGAGCTCCAGTTTCCACTGCAGGAGGCCCGGCTCCGCAAAGGTGTTGCCGAGTTTGGAGAGTGACAGTGACGTAAAATATTTTTCTTCAGATAATCCATGCACAGAACACCGGTGTGTCTGCATTTTGACCAATCAGATGGTGGTGACACAACCGGCTCGGGTTGGTCACATTCTCGGCCCTTCTAGCGAGCAGGGCCATGCCGGCGCGGGTACGGCTCGGGCACTGTGCAGTGGAAAAGAGCCAGTTTGCGGTTCGGGTCTGGTATGGCTCGATTCATGGTAGCAGTGGAAAGTGCGATAACTAAAAAAAACTTGTGAGAATTCTTTTCATTAAACGTAATAACCCTATTCATAGGGTATAAGTGTATTGATTGTTTGTACGTTTCTCTCCTTCCAGAGCAGTAAGGAGGCGCTGTCGGAGGTTAACGCCACAGGAGTCGCCATGCTTTTCTCTGCCGGGACCTTTCTGTATGTGGCTACCGTACACGTACTGCCCGAGGTGGGCGGGGGTGGCCACAGCCACAGCCCTGGCGGAGCAAGCGGGAGCAGCGGACTAAGCAAGCTGGAGGTCATGGCCCTGGTGCTGGGCTGCCTCATTCCTCTGGTGCTCTCTATCGGACACCAGCACTAGAGGACAAAGCGAGGCCGAAGAGGGAGTGCACGGAGATTTAGGACAGTGGCAGAAAACAACTACAAAAATAGAAACTTTTAGTTCCCAGCAAGGAGACATTATTTGTCAAGGGCAACGGGCACCTTGACTCAGAATGAGTGGGAAGAGGGCACTGTAATATGGTATAGTGGACAGGGTTTGTTAGGAGAGTATCGTGTAATTGGTACATCTCTCGTTGAAGCTGTACAGAGTGAACGCATTCTGCTCATGAAGACAGAGCCTGACGGCCTCCTTTTTTATCGTGAATTTAAAATATTTTTAGGGTAAGTGCATTAAGCGGGAATTGGGTTGCAGTAATGTTGGCATACCGACCAAGTTTGTCACCAAGGGTAATCAGTAAACTTTCAGATGTCATTGTCATTAGAGTTGTTGCTGAAACAGAAATTTAATGGTAAACATCAGAAAAAGGTGCTAACATACTAGTAAGAAGAATAAAAAAAATAACTTTTCTTGCTGTTCTGGTCAGTTGTAATCTGTGGTTGAAGCTTCAGTCTAACTGTTAGGGTACCCAAGTTGTGTATATATATTATTTGATGTTACCCAAACCAACTTGAATAGCAACATATTCCTCATATAGTTTGAAAAGTACTAAAGCCATTTTGGTAAAAAAAAAAAGCTGCTTTCTGTTTTGGGTCTTTTCCCAAATGCAGCTGCTTCAGCAGTATATCTGCTGCTTCTGCACATGAACATGTGAACTGAAGCTCGCATTCGCAAACAGAGAATACGGAATACTCCAGATGAATTGTTCTGTTAGTAAATGGCTATTTATTCACATGCTCAGCTGGTTTCATAAATGCTCTCCTGAGTTTTGTCTTAAACTTTTGCCAAGGGAATTGCGGAGAAACGTTTGTTTTTCTACCATTTGAGGAATCCCATCTCTTGCTTCTCCGCTTCCACATCTGTGTTGTCCAGTTGCAGCAGAATCGTCAAATCGCACTTGAACACTTTTCCCCCCCTTGTTTTCTAAAATGCCAGTTTTTCAATAGTTACTCCAGTGCAGATTGCATTTAAAAACCGTTTTTAAAATGGTTAGTTTATTTTAGTGAGTTTAATAACATTATGAATAAATGTTTTGGGTTTTTTTTTTTTAAACATTTATTTGTACTGAGCAAGAGGGAATTAAGTTTAGTCTTCTTGAACATTTCTTTGCCTTCAAGGGTCCAGAGCATATGCTATAAGGTGTGAAAGTTCAGGTCTGCAGGTGGTCCATTCATGTCTGTAGACCACTGGGGTGTGGGGTCCTTTTTAATACATTTAATTATGTACTGATGTTCTAGGAGAGGAGGAGCCTTGTCCGTATGATTAATAGACCTAAGTTGCCATGCATTTCTAAAGGTGTTGAGATCCCAGCCTTTTTGAATACCAGCAATAATTATGAAACAATGTAGTCCCTGACTTCACCAATGAGTCAGAGAATAGAAACTTCTCTGTTTTTCCCAGTTGAGGTTGTGGTTGTCCGTCAAAACTGAAGTCCTTGAAGCAGACTTATTTTAAAATGTATAGTATAATTTCCAAAATCAAATGTATTTGCTTTAAGGTCTTTGTTCTGGAGTTCTTGGACGATGGTTCGGTATTTGTTATTTTTAAATATGACATTCAAAGGAGTCTAGGTGGGTCAAACACTGGATGAATAAGGTGGTTTAATTCTAAACAAAAAGGGAAAGGATCCATGTAATTAACACTTAATTAAAAACAAAGAGAAACCTGCATTATGCTCCATTCATTTGTAACCTGAAATAGATGTAACCTCCCTTTGCCTTATAGACCGCAGTCTTCTAATTTCATTATGATTATCCTGCACATTCCTGGTTGAGCCTGTTATCTGTGCCCCCCCCCCCCACTTCAGGAATCAAGGCTGTGTAGTCTTGTTTGTTATCTGATGACCTCTCTCCCACTGGAGGGGGGTATTGGGTAGTATTTACGCAGCGTAATCCTTGGAATCAATCATGGGAGGGCAAAGGGTAATGTGAGTTGTGTGTGGGGGGGGGGGTGTGTACTGCAGTTAAAGTACTACTAATAACCCATTTTAAAATTAGATGCCAGTGTTAATTACAGAGAACCCTCCTGTTCCCAACCCACTACTCCTCCTGGTATCGCCGGGCCCCACCCTCTCTGTCCGTGGCCAAAGGGATTTCTGTATGGTTTAGGCAGAGGGTTTGGGTGTAGCGGAGGCTAGACTAGTGGTTACTGTTTTATATTTACATTCCATGGAGAGTCTGCCTTATCTCATTCTCTTGATTGTGAAAATTTACAAGACATAGCAAAACTCATGATTTAGTGTTTTCCTTTTTTTCCTTTTAAATAGGTGCAATCTGAAGAAAGTGTTGTAAATTAAGAATTTCCTATTAAAGATTTGCTTCTTTTAATTAAAAACTTCTGGAAGTTAAATTACTATTTGTTTCTCATTGAATACTGCAGTCCATCTTTTCTCAGTCACCCACTTCTCTTCTCATTTATCCTATGAGTTTCACGGATTTCCGTTAGGGATCCTATGAAGGTCTTTGCTGGACAGACACAAATGAATAAGCGATGCTCCTGCTCATTTGTGCATAGATGAAGTCCTTTTTGTAAAGCCTTTTTCCTGTGGCAGTTGGGACGCTTAAGATTAAGTAGTGATTGTGATACACGGTACATGATCTGATTTCTATTTCATATTGTAACAGAATAACTCATGTAAAGTGTGCAATTCTGGATCTGGGGGTTTCAATGAAAATAATGATTGAGCTTTTAATAATATTCTGCACTAAATACTGATCTTCCAACAGGAACACTTAGTGTGTGTATATAGGTTATAAACTTCATATATCATCAGACATCTTGATGAAGGACAAAATCTAAACGAAACTGAATATGAAACTTGAACTGGGTAGTGTGAAAAGCATTTTTAGTAATAAACATCATTAAAAGTACATTACATTCAGTCGCAGGCCTTAGTGTTGTTTCTGTATTTTTACATCGTCCCCAAGTATGTCGTCACAATGCATGCTGCAAGTAAGTTGAATTAGATTCTATTCACAGCCCCCATTAGACTGGCACTTAAGGTTTAAAATCACCCAACCGTGTCATGGGGTCTAATCTAAATATGATCTCGTGATTTGTGTTTGGCAGGAAGTTCAGCCAGGATATTGACCAGCACTTTCATATTTATGGACACGCTCCCCTCCCCGCCGTACTCCTTTGCAGGTTTTATTTCTGCTCCGGCTGCAGTAAAGCTCATGGTGTTACTGGAAACCGGATCATTCTGCCTGAATGAATTATTAGATGTTGTTCCTTCTGTTTTTTTATCTCTCTTTTGTCTGTTAAATTACTTTTACACCTGGTAGTAGAATTAGCTTTCTCCAAGCCCCGTAGTTCCTGCTCTAGACTGTGATGGAGCAGCGTGATACTGATGCTCTGGATATCAGCACTAAGGTGCAGCTCTACGGTGTCCTCTGGAAAAGGCCCTTTGGACGCCCTTCCTCCAAGTGGTCACGAAGGTATGATTCCAGATGCCGTTAAGTGTGACAAAATAGAGTGGAAGGATGTCACAGTTTCCTGTGAGTTTGTATATTGCTGTTACTGTGCCGTGTGCATTTAATGTAAGAGAGAACAGATTGCAGAATTAGAAAAAAATCTAAATCATTTACTAATATGTGTTTAATATGTGTAGAAGTATTGTTAAAAATGTAAGATATTGAAATTTTATTTAAGAGCATGTTGGTGATACTGAATTGAACTGAAAATTGTGAAGGTTTATAGTCAAATCAAGCTCACCACTCACCTGAAGCAAGTAATTTACACAAAGCGCAAATACAAAAAAACAGTTGCTTGCTAGCTTGTAAAAACAATTGCATGTTGGACTACATTTTATTCAGAATTAGTCCAGTGGGCTAGTAGCGGAAAAAAAACAAGTTCCACTCCTCTTTATAGTATAGTTCTGCTTTTAAAATATTCATCAGTTTCTTATTTTCTAAATTAGGGATTATGATATGTTGGTGAAAGTATATTGAAGTTGTTCTGAGGGGTTAGCAATATGTTAGCGTATATTAAAATGATGACAGTAGCATGCAAGAGGTTGTGTGATATTAACAGAAACCTTCCCTTCAGTTCCCTTCAGTTTCCCTCTACCTGTTGCTTCCTTAGATTTTTTATTATTAAAGACAGCTTCCTGCTTTACTATGCTGAGAACGAGAAGAGGAACTTTGAGACAAACCGATACTTCAACATCCACCCCAAAGTAAGGTTTCCTCAGTGACCCTGCTTGCAAGGTCACCTTAAAAGATAAAATAAAAAAAAAAATACATCTAAAATAATGCTTCATATGTTTCTGATAAAAATTTTGCATATGAAATTAGTTTATTATTGGCAATATCATACCATATAAAATCATATTACACAATAATACATGTGTTTAAAAAATATATAAAGCTGAAAATGTATTATTTCATTGTTTCTGAAATGCGCTGGTCACATATTTGTGCTGGTGTTTAGAAAATAACTCACTAATAGTGTTGCCCTAAGATTCAAAATACTAACATTAATTTCAATTTCTATTTGTTTAGTGCATTTTCACAACATTACATTGTCTCAAAATGCTTTACATTATCCCCACCCAAAGCCCCCAGTGAGCAAGCCAGAGGCAACATTAATAGCTGGGGAATTAATGCCTGTATCTATACTGTAAACCATGGCTTGCTTGTACATGCAGTTAGATCCCCCTGGGTTTCTCTCATTCATAAACCTGCTTTTCAGGGGGTTCTCCCTTTGGGAGGATGTGTGGTAAATTCTAATGAAGTACAGGGGATGCCCTTCACCTTGACAATCGCGCATCAGGATTTCTCAGTAAGTTCCAGCAGTTTATAATATAAATGCAGCAGTAAGTATAGTAACGCATACATTGTTATGCATCAGTGGAAGACAAAGGAAAAGCTATTTCCTGGCTTTCTTATTAGGGCAACATTGTCCTGGCAGCCGAATCAGAGCTGGAGCAGAGCCAGTGGGTGAGGCAGCTGCAGGAATCCAGCAAAGTGTGAGTCTGCTAAGCTAATGCACTGCCAATCGATGGCGGTATACAAAAAGACACAACTGCTGAGAGGGATCGAACCCGAGTCTCATATGACACTAGATATCAGGCTGTCTGTGAGACTTCATCAATGTACACTGGGTTTCTGTAACCACCACACAGCATTTCATACAGTGGTGTCACGAATCAGTGCAAATGTGGTTCATTACATTTAGAATAAGGTGCAGTGTTCATATACTTCTGACTTTTCTGTAGTTGTGTGAGGGGGAACCATGAACTTATACTGATATCAACACTATGTTTTTTTTTTCTTTCTTTTTCTAATCAGAAATGGAGTTTAAAGGATTAAACAAAGCAGGGAAAGCAAATTTTTATGTTGATGTTTGACCTTGCTTGCCTTCTCTCTATCTGGACTTGGTTATTGTTTGAACCTGAAAGCACCTGGAAGAATTCACTCTTGGGTGAGGCTATGATCGAGAGTCTGGAGGCGCAAGGACTGCAGCTGGCGAAGGAGAAGCAGCAGTACCTGGGTGAGGAAGTATAGCAGTACCTTTGTAGTATAGCAATACCTGTGTAGTATAGTAATACCTGTGTAGTATAGTAATACCTGTGTAGTATAGCAATACCTGTGTAGTATAGTAATACAGCCGCAGAAAAAATTAAGAGAGAATAGCACAATATTTAGTTTCAGTCATGTCTCAGTTTATGGGTGTGTGTCTGTGAGTTATATATATATATATCCTATCCTAGCAGTGCACTTCACACCTGCGCTTAATGTTTCCCATTCCTTTTGAAGGTCACTTGATGTCATCCTGTGACTCATGAGAAACTGTCGGATAAGTTAACGGTCATCTCTGGCACTAGAATGTCACTTCTGCCCTTTACCTGGCTGGTTTCTGCTCGTTCCCAGTGTCTCCTGCTTCACCTTATTCTTGTGTCCTGCCGTCTTATAAATGTTTCACCTGGAAGCTGCCTGCTGACCAGCCTTCTGCCAGCAGGACCACAACTAAACTGTAATTTCAAAAATGCAGATTTGTTTAAAAATATAGTGATCTCATTTTTTTCTGCAGCTATATTTGTCGGAGAAGAGACAGGCATCTGCATACAACAATAATTTTTTACTTCACAAATAATCTTTTCCTCATGCCCAAAATTTCAAATATTACTACATTTGTCATGTACAATCTAAATGCTGTTATACTAAGTGAGTTTATCAATGTATATTCTTATACATGTTTTTCTGAGTATAGACAAGTTGATGATAGAGACTGAGGAACTGTCTCTGCAGAGAGAACAGAAAGAGGTTAGTCATACATAAAGCTGTGTATTAACTAACCGTAGTGTAATGACACAATTACTTCACTATAGATTTTCAGAGTGATTTGTTTTGCAACTTCTTGTCAGTGCATGTGAAGATGTTGTATTCGTTTTTATTCTGCCTGATGTAGGAGCTGAAACGTCTGAACGAACTTCTAGAGGAGGAGAACCAGAAATTTGAGGAAGTAGTGACAGAACTAAGGATGGAACAGGAACAGATCAAAATGTGAGATGCCAAAGTTCGCTATGGTTTGATTATGTATATACGACACAAGCTGTACATTTTTGAGAGTTACATACACAACAGGGCTGCACAATATTACGTGGCAATATGTAAAATTTCTAGGAGTAATATTGCGATATTTATAAGACAAAAAGGAGATGAAGTTACTCAAAATAAACTATAGCCAAATAGAGTGTCAGATAAGTTGGTGGTGTTTCTGTGAGTTGTCAACAGACACAAAACAGCACCAACAAACGCGATGCGATTATTCTGCATGCATGCAATATATTGTGCATCCCTGAAATGAGAAATCATGCAGCCCTAATAGATACAAACATATAATTGTTAATCTTTATATTTTCTGGAACGGAATGCATGTAATTCTTAAATCTGTGACCTGTCTTTGCATGGAATTATCATGCACAATCATACAAACCTTGTCATGGGTCGGGAGTTGGTGCTGCAAGATCTGTGCTGTTGTCAGGGATCTTGATGGGACAACTCAGTCACTGAAAGCGGTGGAACTGGAGAAGGAGGAGCTTCATGGTCTCACCACAATGCTGCAGAAGTCACTGGAGGTACTAACCAGAAACACACATGTACTCTTGCTTATGTATTCAAAAGGCAACTATCCAGCAAACAACCCTCCTCTTGTAGGAGCTGGCCCAGGAGAAGCAGCAAACCCTGGAGCTGCTGTGCACGAGCGACCCAGAAGGGCTGGAGCCGCCGGAGACGGCGCTGGGATCTCCACAGGGTATTCCAGATGCCAGCGTCCTGCAAGGCAACTTGCAGCTCATTGAGGATCGGATGAGGAGTCTGCAGGGAGAGAAAGAGCAGGCAGAGGAGAAGTGAGGACCACAAGTTTGAGCAGTAACTAATCACTCACTAACCTCTGTTCATTTTCAGGTTCCAGGTTCAAAGGTGTATTGTCATATGTACAGTGCGCTGGTACAAAGCACAATGAAATTCTTACTTGAATACCTTCTTGCAGTCTATGATAGGCAACAATCAACATCTAGTGCAACAATACGAGAAACAATCAACATAGGTTGCCAAGGCAATAACTAAAAGCAAAGGGATATACGTTGTATGTTCTTTACAGAATTCCAATCCATAATAATTTTCGGCCTTCATTATAACCCGGAAATACTTTGTTTATTCAGCAGCATCAGGTCTAATGTCGCAGCTTCCCTGGGATTGGACTGGCAGAGGACTTTAAAGGAGAAACACTCAGTGATCACCTGACAGTCCAGGGTATCGATCACAAACAAATGGAAGCTTGCCTGAATGTATAAATAACATGAAGGCGCAGAACACAGAGGCCCTTTCTAAAGTTGTGGTTCTTGCACGTCATCAGGTACCAAGAGCAAGAACATGACAGTTACACCCTTAGCAAATATTTCACGTTGCGTCTTTTTCCGGGTAAGCGGCTTGTGAGCACAGGGTGAAGAACATCCGACTTTCAGACAACTCGTCCTTATGAACGCACTGCCATAAAACCTATTTTGTTAAAAATTTAGGTTAGATACAATGGTTCATGGTAATGAATGCACGCACTGCTTTGCGATGCCCGTCAAAACATTGCATGGCTTGCAAGTACGGTACCATACATAGTTACCTTTGTTGTTGTTGTTATTCACTGTATTATTATTGTTTCGAACTTACCTACAACTTGGACTTAAAGACAGACTTAGGGAACGGATCTGGTTCGTAACCTGGGGACTGCTTATGTCTCCCCCTGCAGGCTGAAGACGAACGAGCAGCAAGCGCATGTGTTGCAGGAGGAACGCGAGTTCTACTACTCCCAAGCCCAAACCCTGCAGCTGTCCCTGGCAGAGCTGACTGTTGACAAGGAGAACACAGAGGCCGAACTAAAGGTGAATGCTTTCTAGCGGCTTATGCTGGATCTCATTTGTCATACTGAGTGGCTTTTTCATTGAATACACTCTCTCCCCCACCCCTCTTCCTTGTTGTCCCTCTGCATCACCAGGCAGAGATCGAGTCAAAGCTGGAGCTGGAGCAGAGACTGAAAGTGGCGGAAGAGGCTCTGCAGAGTCTGGAGGAGGGCTTGAATAGCCTCAGTCGCTCCCGGGAGAAGGAGGAGAGAATGAAAGGCGACGTACGGCAGCTGAGACGTGAGCTTTGACACGCAAACATGTGCATGCGCTCAGTGGCAAGGATTCACAGTCCTGACTGCTTAGAGTTAAGATGTGAAAGGATGACAAAAACGGAGTACGGCTTAGGCATGTTATACCGATTTTTTTTTTGTGTTATTTTAAGATATTCATAGTACGTGCCGTACAGCTCAGAATTAAATAGAGCTAAATATTCCAAAAATGACTTGAATTAGATTAGTGTATGCCAAGACAGATCAGATTTATATTAAAATGATCTTAGTTTATGTTTAAGTGACTATTTTGTGTAATTTTAATTATTGATGAAACATAATTATAGTTGAGCATTAGATTTTCATCTTTTTATTGTATTTGACAAAGTTATAATCAGTCTGTTTTTGTCTGTCTTAAATGTCATTTTATTGAGGTGATGGTTAATTGGACTTTTGCCCTCAGAATTCTTTGAAGAGTGTATCTGTGCTGCGGAGATCGAGGCCAGGCTGCCGGCCATCATGAAGAATGCCGTGTACATTCACAAGGCTACGGTGCGTCGCATAAAGAGCTGCCGCATCCGCAAGAAGTCACCCAGAAACCTCAGAGGAATCAGTGAGTGTCATGGCAGAAACAGCTTCATAAGTAAATACAATAACACACACACACACACAAATGTCAGGTATTTCATTTTATATCTGAAGGTAAGTACAGTACCAGTCAAAAGTCCAGACATGCCAAGCCGTCTACAAAGGAGAGTGATAGAATGTCACATCACATGACCTGGTCACCTGACCTAGATACAGTAGAAATAGTTTTGGGGGAGTTTGATCAGAGAGTGAAGGAAAAGCGGCCAATGAGAGCTCAGCATATATGTGGGACCTCCTTCAGGACAGCTGGAAAAGCATCCCAGGAGGCCACCTCATGTAACTGGTGTAGAGGAGAGAGTAGGATCAGCCAGTGCTTGGAGCAACTGGGGTTAAGGGCCTTGCTCAAGGGCCCAGTGGGGGCATCACTCTGCTGACCCTGGGATTTGAACCGGCAACCTACAGCCCACTGAGCTGACCCCACCAACCAACAAATTACTTTTTTTGGTCAGTGGATAATTCCATATGTTTTTTTTTATATAGTTTTTATGTCATCATAATTATTCTAAAATGTAGAGAATGGTACAAACATACGTTCCTATGGATAGGAGTGGCCAAACTTTTGACTGGTACTGTATAGAAATGAAAATCATTTCAGCACAAATAAACTCTGATAGAATTGCTTCTTCTGATCTGTCATTCTCTTCTGCTGCAACCATTCCCCTTCCCTCACCTCCCCACTGCTGGTCAGAAGGACAATCTCAGTCCTTCATTCTCCCACCTGGAGATGATTCTTCTTTGGAAGATCTTAAGAAAACTGCACGTCAAGTGTCCTTTGACAGCTCTTTACGAGAAAATGTTTATAAGATCATCGCCCGTCATGACCAGGGCCAAGACTGATGGCAGATATTAATAGTTTATGATGAAAAGATCCTTGAATTTAATGACTCATATTCTCTTGCATTTTTTGTTAAGTTCTAATAATAAAAATATTGTTGATAATGCAATTTTTTTTTAAATAGTGCTACAATGTTAAGAAAAAATACTTTCCTTTTAGAGTACTTCGTTAATAGGTGGATGCCAGTTTCACAGAATGTCTGATTAAAGTCATCATCTTGTTAATTTAGAAAATTTTAAACTTTGTCTTTGGGAATGTAGAAAACGTTACCTTGCATCAAAGTAGCATTTAAGAATCCATCCGCTGCTCAGGAATATCATAGAACAGCGTTTTGCAGTGATAATAGACGTACATGCAGGGAATTTAGAACAGCTTTAGATGTGGCAAACTTACAAAAGCTTGTAATGGTCTAGTCTCAAAGCCTAGAACCTGAGTCTACAATCATGAAATGGACAATAGACATAAAGGATGTTAGGAAAAAGAAACTGGTTCTTTAAAAAAAAACTTTGGTTTTTAATCTTACTTTTATTTTACTTTAGGAAATCATGATAGTATGTCTACATATATAGATTTCTCCTTTACTCCTTGCCTCATGTGAGGTAAAGAGGGGGAGTACTTAGCATAGTGGTCAAGGACACATTTCCCAAGGTACCAATAGGTAAATTTGCTGTGGACAACCAGACTTAATATCAGCTATTACAGTTCTATCAGAGGGTGATCATTTACAAATGTAGTGACTTATAATCAAATAATGTAATGAAAAATACACTGAAAATCTGAATGTCATGAATATATATATATCTATATAAATACAATAAAATTTAAAAATGGAGAAAAAAAACATGTTGTCTCTGGCCCATTTCAGGTAATAAGGTTGTTTTAGAATACAATTACATAGCATTCTAAGTGTAACTGGGAAAGATAATAGATTTGGATCTTCTGCACGCAGATACATGGATGAGGTCTAAGACGTCTAAAGTAAATATTGTAAATCTGTATAAAGAAAAAAGTTTATTGGCTGAAAGCTAAGAAATTAATTTAGAATTATGCAACCGATCTTTTGCAACACTAACTAGTCATAATGGGTGAGGTGTCTGTAGTTTTTTTTGGGGGGGGGGGAATTTAGTGTAGTGTATGAAGGCTAGTGGGGGGAAATTTAGTGTAGTGTATGAAGACTAGTGGAGGGAAATTTAGTGTAGTGTATGAAGATGGCTATGGGGAAAAAAGACAGCATAACATATTGCGATATGTACAGAGAAGCAGTGTATTACAAAAAGATAACGCAGACCTTCACATCATTCATGAATTTTATTTTTAAAAAAAGTATTGTTGCTTTTCTGTTTACTTGTTTGAACACCTCGGAGGCCATTTGTCACCCAGGAATCATTGCATTTCTCCATTTACTCCCCAATGGGGTATTAAAGCATGAATAAGTCTTATGTTCAGTGCACTCTACAAATGGAAATGAGATGCGTGTCGTTAGAGAGAAGCTACTACATTTGAAAAAGAACAGATAATGTATTATTAAATTTAATCTTGTGTTCCATCTTATAGTGAGCAGAACGTTTGGAACAATCACCTTCAAAAGTTACTGCAGCAGAACAGTGCTGTAGAGAACCACAACAGAATTTGCTTAGCTTCAGAACAACATACTGGAAAGAAAAAGCAGACATCAAATGGATGACACTGTACTGTTTTCTTTACTCTGCAGGCCAGAGACACTGGAAGAGAGGGAAAATACATTATTGTCAGGGAATCATCATGTTACCTATTAATAAAAACATTATTGTTCGATAAGAATACTACTGGGGTTATTTTAGAGAGAGACATTAGCTTGACTAAGCATTAATGTTGCTGCTGATAGAACATAATCTTGTTTTGGTAACACTTAAGGCTATGTTTTTAGTAATTTAGCAAGTAATAATGCATTCATAAAGCATTATAAACATGGCTATAAATATTTATAAAAAAGCCATAACACCTTATAGCCATGTGTATTATGCATTATGAATGCCTTATGAAGCTCTCATCTATAATGCACTCTAGATATCTTCATAATGCATTATAATGGTCAGTATAAGCATTAAGTATGCTCTGTACTGCATTATGAAGGTATTTATACTGCACTATAGATCAGAGCTTCATTTAGCATTCATAATGCATAATACACATGGCTTTTTAATATTTTTTGATGAATATTTATAGCTATGTTTATAATGCTTTGTGGATGCTTTATGAAAGTGTTACTAAAAGTATGGCGTTAAGTAGAATGTTACCCTTGTTAATCATAACCTGCTGTTGGGGATGCTTAAAGACACTGGTGACCAGTAACATGCAGCGTGTCTCCAGCCAGCAGACCACAGCTTTCAGACTCACCCGAGAAGTTGTGTTAGGTTTGGGGGTCAGCTGCAGAGGTAAAGGGCTGCGTGGTGCTTCACCATTCTTAGGATTTGTACTTCCTTTCAGTTCGGGAGACTGGGACACATAGGTGTCATGCACTTGTGCCCATATGCACACACCCTTTTAAGACAGAAGACAAAGAATGTAAAAAATTTCACTCTGGAATTTAATTTCATTTTGCAACCAGGGCATCAAGAGCTGAACATGTAAAGAGCACATTAAGTATAGATCTACCCTGAATTAGAAATCATTAGGTGGGCACTGCTGCAGTGAAGGGACAAACCTCACTGGCAGTGCTGTTTAGCTATCCTATGACATTTGGTGGAAGCAGAACTCTGAAAGATATTCAGCTTCTCATTCTCAAGCTGAGCAGTTGTTGTGCCGCAACTGTTTTTTTTTTTTAAAACAACCGGCCTGTGATTGGTTAGATATATTTTGGGTGGGACACACTTCCCTGCACACAAAGCGCATTGTCGTGCTTGAGAAACCCAGCAACGCAGCAGTTCTATTCAAACCATGTTTTTCCTGCCCATTCTACCTCACATACACAATTCATACCTCCACTGTCGCCTCCCCTCCCTCTGCACGAACACAGAATTTAAAAAGTTAAACCATTTAGGGATCATAACCTTGATGCATCTGGTCAGGCTGTCAGGAGAACAGCCAGCTTCCCTAATGCCTTGTACACACTGTACTTAGAGAGGTTGACACACTTCGTGCAAAACACGTCCACTGTGCTACAGCATGATTCTGCAGTTGCAGTGTTAGGTCCTCCTCTCCAGTGCTCATTCAGAATAATGCTGCCCTCTCCTGCTAAGCAATACAACCATTTTAGATTAAGGATCACTGTGGTCCAGGAAGCCCTCCCCTGCATCGTGTGCAGGCTACTGTCTCCTCAGCTCCTCTGTTCACATGGGAGAGCAGCAGCAGATATTTCAGTATTCACCCCTCTGCTTGTGTTTCTTATTTTATATTTGGCAGTTTGTACAGAAAGTACCTTCACCTATGAATTCTTGCATCAGAGTACAGCAACAGAGACTAATCATACTACCAAACAGCAATTCTGCAAGCGGTATCAACCATTGATAATTGTGCATGGTAACAAAGGCAGACCTTTCGGATTTCCCTTCAATTGCTATAGAATCCTTTTTTACGCTTAAGAATACTGAGCTGTTTCTCAGAAATAAGGCCAACTATCTATTAACTAAGACTGCTTACTTGCCACTAAACATTTCTCCCTCTCCAATTAAGGTTACAAAATCTGGGATGGCAATCACTGTGTGCATGCAGAGTCAACATTTAAAAGTCATTCAGAAAAGCATGTACCTGTTATCAGTCCTCTTGAAGTCTGGGGTGCTCTAGTGAACAGCTGCTGTTCATTGTGAGAGGCTCTCCGCGACCTCATCTGGTGCCAAGACTTGGTTGTTGATAGTATGAACACAGTGCTGCCAGTTCTGCAGCAAAGCACAGTGATGGGTGCCCATGCTGATATTCACTGAATCACATCACACCGTCTGCGTTCACAGCATTCAGTTCCTTTGGCTTATTTGTTAAACTTCTTTTTAATTTTATGAACCAAAAGGCATTTCAGTCGCTACAAGCTGATTTCCATGACGGCATTGTATCTTTTCTCTCTAGAGCAGCCTTGATTTGTTGTAATGGCATGTTCAGTTGGGGAGTATGATGCGATTCTGAATATGCACAACCACGAGCTAACACCAGCAGCGCATACTAAACAGACTTTTCGTTTTCTGTGTGCCAAAACTATTCATTCCGCTGTCCTTCCAAGGGGAAGAATAAGCTTATTCTATCCAGTTAGCAGCAAGAAAGTCTTTCCCTGCTTAAATGTATCTACTGGCCTGAAATGGACATAGCAAACAAACTCTACCAGATGTTAATGACGAAATGATCGAGCCTCGGGATCATGTGGCAAAAAAACAAAACGAAATGGGTCTGACGATGGAAGTGTAATGCTACAGGGTAATGACTGCTTATAGCTACAAGACCCCCACAGAGTACAAACGAAATTCCCAGCAACAGAGGTGGGAAGAGCCTCCACCCTAGTGGCTCACTTTTCATCCAGACTGGCCTTCAGCTTTGCCTCCAGTGCCATTTTATCGAACGTGCGCGTGTTGGTTTCTTCTCGTACGCGGTCTCGCACATGGAAGGAAGCTTGCGCCATGGAGCGGGCGCTCTCCAGCACGGCGCGCTTCTCCCGAAAAATCTGTTCGCTCTTCTCTAGCTTCCTCTCGATGGACTGCAACAACTCCAGCCGCCGTTGTTGCTCCTCCTCTTCCACGCGTTGCCGGTTCATGCGCTGCAGCTTCTCCTTCTCTTGCCGGCTCAGTACGGCCCGCAGAGCCTTCTCCTTGGCTCGCTCTTCCGCCACCGTCGTGGCCTGCTGTGCCCGACGCTCTGCCTCTTTCGCACGCACCTCCAGCTGCTCCCGCTGCTGGCGCTCCCGCCGCTCTGCCACCCGCCTCGCCTTTTGGATCTGTCCCTCCTCGCGGCGCGCCTTTTCCCGGAGCTCCTGGCTACGTCTCTCCATGATCTGCTCATAGTTTTCAGACGAGCGGTTCAGCTTCTCCTCAATGGCCTTCCTGGCCGTCTCACGCTCTTCCACCTCCCGGCGGGCAATCTCTCTTTTCAGCGCAGCGTGCCGCCTCTTTTCGGCCCTATTCAGGCCCCGCCGCTCCTCCTGAGCCTGGTGCTCTCGCTCTTGCTTCTTCAGCTCCGCCGTGGAGAGCTTCTCTCGGAGTAGCAGCTGCTCCTGCTCCAGCATAGCGGCCCGTTCCTCCTCCAGCACTCGCAGATTCTGCTCTTGTAAGACTTTCTTCTGCTTCTCCTCGCGGGCCGTCCTCTGGAGCCTCTGTAGCCGGCTGCGCTCCTGCCTCTCCGCCAGCTCCCGCCACTTCTCCTCATTCTCAGTTACCTGCCGCAGCTTGGCTGCTGCGGCCTCCTGTTCCTGCTGGGTGAGACGCTGCTGCCGGGCCGACACCTGGGACTGCCATGCCCGCTGGCACTGCAGCACGGCGCGCTGCTTCTCGCGGTCCTCCCGCTCACGCCGCAACTCCTCCAGCCTCCGCTCGCTGTCCCACTGCAAGTGAGCCACATAGCGGCTCTGACTCATGATGTCTTCCTCCTGGTACTTGGCCAACATCAGGGCTGCGATCTTGCGGTCGCGCTCCGGAACAGCCTTCAGTCCTCGCCGCTTCACCTCCTTCACAATGCGCTCTATTTTTTGCGTGGTCTGCGGCGAGTGACTGAGATCACCGAGGCTAAGACTGCGACCCATCAGGGAATTAAACGTAGCTAGAGTGCGTGTTCTTGGGCTGGATGCCTTAGCACTACGGTCCCGTGGCCCATCCCAACTGTAAGAGGATGAGGCACCGGACTCAGAAGAAGTGTGGGTTGCAGTGGAGGAACACACTGGTTC